CAATGAATTGCTGCCCTTCCTGAGGCAAATCGTTTGCACAGAATCTTTGCCTGATACATACATACGTGTTTGCAGCTTTTCTTGCTTTTCGGATGTGTCCAGAGCTGTTCTGTGTAGGCTTCTTTTCTTGCTGATGCTGCTTGAGATTCTGCTTTCGCGGTGTCGGACGTGCCTCCCGTGTTCGTGGCTAGAGCAAACTCTTACTTCCAGGCTGAGGGACACTGAGCAGGAGATGCAGAGGCCGGGACGTTTGCATAGGATTCAACATCTAAAAGTAACAGTAATAACAGTAATTCATTATATCCATTACATTCCATTGCCCTCAGCAGGTTGAGCTTACAAGGCCGAGAAACATGGGCAAAGGTGTTACGCATGAAGAAACTGCCTAAGTTGTCGGAGTCACGGCATGGTCTCGTTCATGGCCAGCGGGTGCCCAGGTATTTGGCGATTTTCCAGAAGTCGGTTCCCCGAGGCCATCAGGGCGCTCCAGGAACGGCAGTAGTTAGGGGATGTCAGGTCCAGGCTTCATGGTTGCGACCATTGGTGCTGGATTTCATCTCGCACCAAAAACCCTGCCAGGTGCTACCATGCCGTCTGATCGTGCGCGGGAGATCCTGGAGATGTGGAGCCCTCAAAACTATGCAACGCCACCTGTCACCTGAGGTCCAAGAGGGGAAAGGTGAAGAGTCCAATGAGTCTAATGGCAACCATTCCTTTACAGACGGCAGTGTGATGTGCTGAGGTCCGAGCTGCCACCTTCGGAGTTGGCTCAGATTTGGCTTGGACCTGAGGGCGAAGAGACCCACAGATGGACGAGCTTGGGCCACCTGGGGCTGTTAGACCATTTTGGGGGTGTCAACAGTGTAATCCCTTCGTTTTGTTCGATTGGTTCTGATGGGCAAACACCATCACCGATCGACTGGAGGAGGGTTCTCGACCGCCAGGCGCTTGTGCGGAGCCGGCGACGGCCTGGACCAGAACCAATTTCTATGTGCGATGGCCTTGACCGCCCGCCGCAGGTGCCGTGCGATTCGAAGTGAAGCAGAACACATGATTGAGTTGCAATGCTTGGCACGTTTCAGCTTAAAGTCTCTTGGGCTCTTGGGTCTTAGCCCGAGCGGCAAGCTGTTTCGACAAAGCACTCCAGTCACCCAGAAACAGCATGAGAGTGCAGGCAGGGACAGCCGCTGCCACCAGTGATGCCGCCGGATCTATTTCTTGCCGCTCAACTTGTGTAGCATTCGATCACAGAGATTGTCAGGTCGGCTGGAACATGCCGGAATCCTCAAGAACTCATAAGGACTCAGGAGAAGGAGACTAAAGGCTGGGTCGTGCCGTTCAGAACCCCAGACAAGAGCTTTAGACTGGCTGTCTAGAGTCGCGGAGATGCAGCAAGTGCAGAATTCATCAAGATCAGGGTGACTGGTCAAGATGGTAGCACAGCAACTGGCAACCAGCTGCTTTGCAGATAGAGCTCCCTTTGGATTGAATAAAGAGCTCAGCTCCATTCCACCGTGACTCTTAAAGGGAAAGACTCGGACAGTCATTTTAACATTCTTTCCAGAGAGAGGTCTTTTACAGGTCTGGCACGGAGATACCGGTCAGCCGCAAAGAGTGCCAGCGCTGATCCATTCGGCGTGCTGAGCAAGCAACATGTTCAGGTTACACTAGCCACAACGGCAACTGAATACTACGTTCTTCTGTGCTCATACACAATCAATCTTTTTGTCCTTTTGCATGGCTCAGAATTGAAACATGGCCACATTAGACCACAATGAGTGAGGCCACTGTTTGCATCAACCTTGCAATGCAGAGATTTGGAGAGCACAAACGAAAATACCGTCATCGAATGGAGTCAGGAACAGCTTTTGCCAAACAGTTCAGCTTAGAAATTCGAAGGACCATTTGAAGGGACACGGTGACACACATCGCGCCCGCCGTGCGTCATGGGCGACATCAGCACGACGTGGACGTGGGATGTTCCGGCAGCGTATGACGCATGACCGGTCAAGCTGCGTTCTATGAAGTGAGACAGATTTCTTTGCTCTTTTTCGCCTTCCTCTTCCTGCCGGCCTCAAGCACGAACAGAGGGGTTTGCTACCCCGATGACAGCATACAGAGTAGCAGTAACTATCAATGCCAGGCTTTTAGCTATTGTCGGAACCAAAACCGGGCAATCAATAAGGGAACAATGACTCTGGCATCCTGCAACTTGACTTAAGACACATGTAACGTTCCTCCCTTAGTTGTAGGATTTGCATGTGTCGATTTACTTTCAAACAACAACCTGCTAGGTGACACAATTCTACGCCTTTTCATGCCTTTTCAAGCAATTTGAACGACTCTTCACTCTCAGTTTCAGCCTTTTGTGTTTTTCCTGTCTTCTCTGTGAGGTATGGATGAGTGTGACAGGATCAACTGTGAATCGATCCAGTTTGATTGCAACACCGACTGCTTTCTTCTGGAAGAGGGCTGTGGTCAGCTCATCCCCACCAGTTGTGGCAGCAGTGTGTACCATAGGGTAACCACAACCACTACCACGACCACCACCAGAGCGAGCAATTGCTTTCCGGGTATACCGGGTATGCTTGGTGGGGAACCAGGGCAGCTCGGTGGAAGAGTGTGTGGAGACATGTAGATGTCTGAATCTTAAGGTTAGCCTAGCAAGCTAGACCAGCTTGTCTGCAAACTTGCCCAAAGTCAATGTCAGTGTAAGCCCCTGTCAGCATTTTCAGTTACTAGTTGATAGTCTTGGTTTCTCCTCGTGTAGTTGAATTCTGATTGGGCCCGAACCTCAAGGTCACAGTAAACGCAGCCTGTTCGCGCCCCAAACATGTGAAAGGAAGGGCGTAAATGTCATTAAATGTCTAGTAATTATATAGTTGATCAAAAGACTTCAACAGGTCCTTACAAAAAGGCTTAACGTCATCGAGCCTGTATTGTTGGCAATTTAACATTAGCAAAAACTTTGGGCCTTGAAAGGCAGCTTAACTCGCGCCATTTGTTCGAAAGTTTGGGGCGAAGGTGAAAGCCGACAGACCCCCTGCCCAACATGTTGAAGGATTGATTTCAAGACAAGGGACTTGCTGTAGCCGATCTGAGTGTAGGCAACGCCAACCACGGACAGACACAGGAACATGGAGCCTTGAACAGAATGTGTTTTTTTTGTGCTCATGCAGGTATTAAGATGTACTGTATTAAGGACAAGACCAAGAAGACTTCTAAGATTATACCCTGAATAGTCAAAAGGATTTCGCGAAAGTAAAGATTCGTTTTGCAAAAAATACCGTTCCATCAACAATAACCATGTGCATACATATAAGCACTGGAATTCAATCCCCAACAGTGACAGGACTCTCCTGTCTGGACATGTCCTCCCAGAGTTCTGCAGGTTTCAATGTGCGAGCTTCTCTTACTGCGGCAATGAGCACGATGCTCACAAACTGGGGCGGATGTCCTTGGCGGCGTGTTTGGCTCAATGCAACGAGCAAGCCAATTGCAGAGCAGTACAGTATGCCTCTCGTCCTCGTGCATGTCGTCGGCCCACACAATTGGGACGTATGACAGCCTCCCGTGCTAATTAGTGTGCCATGTGGCGGTAAATATGTTGGTTGTTTTGTCAGCGGCCAGCAATCCTGGAAGGGCAAAGTCTAATTTGGCCAGCAATCCGCTTGACGCCTTGCACCTTTGCGTCCCCTCTCGTATCAAGGGATATAGTTCCAAGAAGACTGAGACCCTCTCTTATCATAGAAATGGATCAGAGGAGAGAAAGCATAACTCAGACTCAGATGGTTTTGGCGAAGTCCACTATATCTACGAAAATCCTACTATCATAGTCATTTTCTTTGAACGATTTATTTTCTCCAAGGACTGCGGCACTGAATGCTGGCTGCTTCCAAGTTGTGAGACTCTTTTGCCTGACAATTGGTGTGGCAGCAGCACCTACTTGAAGGCTTGCCGGGCTTGCGGGGCTCGCCTGTCTGTGTGAAGGGACCAGTATGCACCAGTCATGACAGTTCTGTTTGTACGACTGACCCGTGTAGTTCCACCTTTCCACCGCCCGAACATGCCGCGCGCGTCCCGATGAGGAGACCACCTTGACAACGACGGAGCTTGGGAGATGTTGGCCCAACAACGTCACATCCATGGACGACTTCAGGTGGGACTTCCCGCCGGCCCTAAGGACTTGGCACTCCGACATATAGCACTGATGGCTAGACTGTTCGGATCGAAGCAAGGTCACGACTCCAAGGTGGCATGTTCAACGACCAGTTTTGACCTCCAAAGTGGATCTCATGTGCTCATCCGGACGCTCGCTTCCACTGCGAGGTGCACCTCCGGACGGTACTGTGCCGAACAAGCATTCGGCACGAACTATTCGGATATGTCTCTGGAGCAATGTGCCGCACTGTGCCAAGCAAAAGGCTGCTCTTACATCCAGTATGATTGCAACAAGGCGAGATGCAATTCGACAATTTTTGCGCAAGTTGGCGCAGTCTAATGACTAGACAGAATTTGGTGTTGATTTGCGAGAATCTGACCTTTGAGGCTTTCCGAACAATTTGTTGTCATAGACTTGCGATCAGCTGGCAAAGTAGTATCATCATTCGCTTTGGTGTACAGTAAATATAGTGTAGTTTGGGTCTGTCAGATCTTGCTCCAGGTGTTTGGTTGAAGGGCAGGACCAAAGAGTTTGCTGGTAGGTTGGCCGCAGAGGCATTGCTCAACTCTTCTTTCTTGACCAATTTGCGAGGCTTGCATATTGCTGGCTTCTTGCACGCCAATACCAACAGGTTCATCAAGATGTCGGGGTTGCGGTTCGGGTTGAAGCCAGCCTCAAAACAGATGCATTGCTCCCAAAATGTTGAGTGAGACAAAATCATTCCTAGAGAAGCACACCGGAACAACTACAAGCGTGTTACTGTACATTTATATATGTGAGTGCGAGAGAATCCATGGAGACATTCTGGAACACCGAATATGATTTTCATGTTTTCACCATGGCCTGGGCAGATTGTGGCAGCAGCATCTATTATCGCACCGCCAACAACCTGCACTACACTGCCCAGCCCTATGGCGCAGGAGAGGGGCTTTGCACCAGACCTAGCAAGGGAGAAATGGCATCAAACTTGCCCGAAAAGTGGACCAAGAAGCAATGACATGAGAAGCTCTTGATTCATGTTGCTTCTGAATTTTGTCCAGCTGCTGTTGAACATGCTAAGCACGCCGTGGTTCTAGAGGAAGATACGTGGTTCACAGTGCCGCTTGCGACAGCTGCACTATGCAAGCGGACTGCCCCTGGGGCACCTCGCCCATTGGTTGCGAGATGATTCCACCGGGCCGCCATGGGCGGGTACTGGAAGCTGCTTGGAAAAAATGGAACGCCAACAAACACACCGGAGAGAGGGAAAGACACAAGAAACAACAAAGCAAGTGCAAAGTTGTCAGCAGGTTCATATAGGGTAGGACACAAATGCCCAACATAAACATATCTGCACCTGATCACTCCAAGTGTTTTGCTGCAGGTGACAGGCCAGTCATGTAAAGCCCGGCCGAGCACAAGCACTGACTTCGGCTTGGCGGAAGTGATTTGTAGCTCTCAGATGGAGACTTTCTCCAAGGAGAGCGTGCCTAAGTGTCTATAGTTGAGCTTAGTCTAGTTGCCCTGAGTCATCATGCGTATATAACTGCCTAAGTGCTTATCATGGAGCCATAGAGCAGTTTTGGAGCTGCTTGGTGCTGTTGGACGAGTCCGTCCAGTGATACATTTTAATGCATTGTTGGGTGGGGTTGGAGCGGAACATCCGCAGATTTCATAAGAACTTCCTTGGCTCCGAATCTGCAAATGTTTTCCGTGGGAACATCGCTGTTTGCGCAGTACAATCGCTTCAGCGAGCGGAATCTTTGCGGAGATGGCGCAGCGTTGGCTTGCTACTGCACGCAGTCGCAGGTGGGGGGGTTTGAACGGCAGGTCTGCCAGGTAGACCTTTTCGCTGTATTAGTAGTAACAAGAACGCTACTAGGGGCTCCTGGCCTTACTACTAGGAGCAAGGACGCCACTAGGAGCAAAGGGCATCGCTACTAGAAGCAAGAACGCTACTAGGGGCGACATGGCAATTACATGTTTCCCGAGCTAGTCGATGCACACTTCCCGAGTTTGCAGTGTCAGAGCGCGTTCACGGGACAAGGCCAATTGCCAACAGCTGCCGACGAGCAGTTTTGGTGAGCCTGCTCGATGTGCTCTTGGACAATGGGCGTTGTGCTGGGAAGGCCGATAGTTGTCCGAAACGGAGATATGAGATATGACTTGGCGAGACCTTCACTCCCCTTTGCTTCGTTCCGATCATCGGTTGGTCACCATCAGGTTCGAATCGCATAATTTTGCAACTTGGATAAACCCGTGCGCCCCAGACTCCCTGAACAAGGTCCGACAGAGCTTCACACAACTACAACGGCTTTTGAGAAAGGTTCATTAACAACTAGAGTGGAGGCCATTGCTATTAGGTTGGAGGCCATCGCTACTAGGGTGGAGGCCATTACTACTAGGGTGGAGGCCATCGGTTCTGTAACAACACCCGCAGGGCCCAGGGCTGTAATATTTGTTCAATAGGGGAGCATCCGCATGCTGGACTCATGTGTAGGCCCATTATATAATTTGCATTAAAGTAAGGGTATTTCGAGCTTTCATTTCTCTTGTGATGCTTAAATTCAGTCTCTTGGCCACGTGCAGGTGAAGAAAGCTATACCATCAAGAATGTTGGGTACATCGCACTTGCAAACAGCCTCAGCTGGTGTGGGTGGGCCAATCTGCAGCAGAGAGATGATGCAGATTGTAGACATGTAATGCAGGATACACGGGATACAGTCATGGGCCTGGGGGGGATACAGTCATGGTGTTTGAGAATTCCCAGTGAACTTCCCAGTGATCTGATTTACTGTAGATTAGTGGAAGGCAAGTATTGAAAAAGCCCGTGGTTGATGTGTGCACAGGAGCATTCAGATGAGCATGTCGGTGGGTGTCGCAGCAACGAATGCATTGATTTGGCAGATTGTGTCCAGAAATGCGAAGCATGCAACAGTTGCACAGGCGTATTGCGACTTGTATGCACTTTGCAACTTGTTGCTCTGTCTATGTTTGGTTGACTCTTGAAGTAAGGGTTTGCAGCATAGAAACCAGGTGGCCGTGCTCTTGCCCAGGTATTTTCCACGTGAGCAGGGTCTTGATGAATATTCCAACAACATGCGCTGCTACATGCAAAGGAGCAATGTCACAGGTAGCATTTCAGCACAGGGTCCTACGATGAATCAGCCAAGTGTCTATGTGAATAGCAGGAATGCAGGATGTTCCATAGACCACAGCATCAAAGGCATTAGATTCTTCCGAGATAGCGACTGCATAGACCCTGTGTACCCGACCAGCATTGCTGACCACAATGGCCACGTATTGCCTTCAAGCTGGCTGAAGTATCCAGGAGCCTACCAGCCCTGTACACACTGCTCAAATATCGCTTTCACAGCGCGGTTCGACAGCGCCACTCCGGTACTTTGTGCTGTTGTGCACTCCACACCAGGATTTGAACAGGGGTGGGAATTGTATGCAGGAACAGGAGATCATCCAATAGCGACTTCCAAGCAGGGAGCTGCTGTGACTTACAACAAAGTGGATTTTGTAGCCGGTAGTACCGTAGTGTTTACAGGGAGCTTGACTGTGCGGTACGAAGGGGAGTTCTCCACTGCTTCTTTGGCTGTGGCTCTGGCCAAGCTGCTTCTCTTGCCCTTGCACACGGTACAACTTCAGCGCTCCAGACGCCTGAGCACCCGACGGGTGCAGACCTTGTCCGAACGTTGCGACTATTCAATCCAGTTTTTGGACTCCACCGGAACTCTTCACAAGAGCGTGGAAGCCACTTTGAAGGCGAAGGGAACATGGATGAAGACCGAACATGATCGATTGGCTAGACGCGATTTAGTTACTGTAGGTGATTCCTAGAGTTGAATGGTTGTGGGATATGATCATGATCCACTTCTAGGAATCTCTGGGGTATAGATTTCGTCCTAATTTTCTCTCCGCGGACTCTTGCCTGAGTTCTGCCGGCAGGTTCTGCAGAGCGACCCAGGACAGTTGAACATGCCTTTGCTCTTCAACTTGCAGATAGCTATCACGGACATGACTGAAATGCAGAGGGAGATCATCCCGTCGACCTCTACGACTACAACAATGACTCCACTGTCTTTTCAACTGGTTCGAAAGCATGAGTGGGATGAGTCTCCTGATCTTGCTTCACAGGCAGACGGATTTGAAAAAGGTTGAGAGGTGGTGCAAAGAGCACTTCCAAAGGACATCTCCGAGCATAGCTAAGCATAGCAACAGAATTGTGCGCATTGTGAAAGTTGAGCGGTTGACCTTTGCCTTGGAGGTGTTCACGGCCCTTGGGGTCAGCCTCGCTGTGGTAGGAGGTCCGGTCGTTCTGTGCCGAGCTAAGACACGGCCAGAAGCACTCGCTAAGAGAGTTGCAAAGATTGAGCAGGAACACTCTAGCAATTTGCATCCATGATCCAGGGGGTTTAGCAAACAGTGTAAGTTAGGTTCATGCTGACGGAATTGGCTGGTCGCTCAAGTCGATGCTATGTTGATGCTGCTCATGCTATCTAAACACTTGGCAGAGTCGGAGCTGAGGTGGAAACTTTACCAGTTTCTGCGTCAAGGGCCGCAGCACCATCCCAAGACATCCAGTGGTATCATCATTGGCGCTCTTCGCACCACACGGTGTGAGACGGAGGAGGATCTACAACCGTTGACCCCTACAGCGGCGCAGAGTCTTCCCTCGTATTGGAGCACCACAGGAATCGAAGTAGACTTTTCAAACCCGCTGGACAGGAGGACTAGGGAGTCTCAAAGGTTGCATGTTAAGCGACTCACGGGGTTCTCGTTTTTCATGAGAATGAATGATACTATATGTTTCCTTATCCAGAATCGATCGCTTCTGACAAGATAAAGAGGATTTTGGGAGGGAGGAGCACCTCATTGTATGATTTCTGGTGTTCTTCCTCCGCCTCGCAGGAAATTGGCCTTTGAAGAATTGGCCTATGTGCCGCAGCGGCAGACCTGCTTGGACCTGTAGGATCCAGGATCCAACGGAAGATCTCGGGGCGTAGGACTCCAACAGCAGTAGCATGTGGTAGTCTAGTAGGTCGCGCTAGGTCCCGGTAGGCGTGTTCTGTGAGTCAGGTGAAGCACGAGCACCTGCAGCAGTTTCAAAATCTGGTGAACCACACATACAAAGCTATTCCAACACAGGACTGAGATGTGGAATACCTAGCAACATTATCATGTTGAATGCATGAGTTGGTCAAGCTTTGGACTTTGCGAAAGACTTCTACTTGCAGGCCTGTTTGACTCCAAAAGAGAAATGACCTGGAGATCAACCCTACTTGAACGAAGAGATTTGCTGGATCTTTCCCAAATGCGCCAGGACCGTTTATGTCCAACAGGGATGCACGGCAAGGTTCGTGGTGGATGCCCATGCGTGCAACCCGGTGGAAAGCCAGGTCTTCCAACAGGCACAAAACCAGGGCAAAGGTTTGGCTCACCCGTTTGAATGACCGACCAGGGGAGAATCAGTATAATTCAGGTAAGTAAGTCTAGTTTTGCTCTACCGGGGTGCGAATGCATAGCAACAAATATATACAAAAATATAGTCATGTTTCTTAAGTGCATCAATTGGTGACTGATAATTACTTGTGGAGCAAACCGGTTCCCGCTGTTTCCTTGATCACAGCCCGGAGGCTTTCAGGTGAAGCGTGTGATTCGAGTTGAAGATTCAGACATGTTCAACAGACACTTGGCTTTAGTTTGAGAGCTTTCCAGAGCACTTACAGCTTCCAACTTGATGCATCGATGCAATGAAGGTTGGGGTGCTGCATCAATGGTTCTCGGAAGACTTGAAGCGATCAAGTGTCAGCATGGAGAGTTGTACATTTGCACCCGAGGATATATCTTTCGCCGAGACACCATCAAAGCGACCCGTGGCAAATGCGATGCCCCGGGCTCCTCATTCTTAACTCATGAAGCAATTGACAAATTCCAAGGACGGGCAACACCGCTCGATCACTGCACTGTCACTGCTTGTGGGTCGATACTTTCTGTGAAGGAAAGAAGACTGCACCCATAGCATAAAGATCAGAAGCACCAAATAGCAACAGCTTGTTTGAGGTTGGGGATTAGCAAGAGCTGGCAGGTTCGAGATAAGCGCACTGGTCCCAGAAGCAAGTGGATTGGTCTCATTCTGCGAAGCGTGAAGGGGCTAACACATCCTATTATATAGACCGTTTTTGATTTCAGGGGATGAAAAGGGTGCGCAGGTTGAGCTCCTTAGACACAAGCACGCAGGTTTGAAGGAGATAGTGGCATCGCTGGACTTGGAGCTCAATGAGGCTTATTTGTGGCACGGCACACAAGTGAGAACAGGTCTGCAGATCGCGCAGGCGCATCCCACCATAGCTTTTGCAGCTGGCCCTGGCGAAGTTTTGATGGTCACTATATATGTATTTCCTTCTCTTTTGAAGACGATCTTGCACATGGGATCACTGTCTTAGTTTTCGATATTGTTGGCAGAATCCTCTATTTGTTGTTGGCTCCTTTTATATAAGTCCTGGCTCTGCCTCCAGGAGGACTTCAACATGGCTTTTGCTGGCTCTGGAGCTGGAACGATGTATGGCAAGGGCTTGTATTTCTCTGACTCTTTGACGGTTAGGACATGAAAGGAAGATGCCCGAGGTCGGTCCACGCCAAGCTGGGTACCAACCTATCCTTTCCGAATTAGATGCCGGGATCCTTTTTGCATGAAGATACGGGTTACTTTGGCTTTGTTCGCTTTGGGAGCCATTTGAGGAGAGCTGCACCAAAGCTGATGAATACAGCAGGGATGAGCCTAGGGGATACTATGACAGCGTGCGAGCTCTTCTCTTATGCCGAGTTTGCATGGGCCAGTTCTACTACACAGCCGACCGGGAGCTGAGATTGGGAACCATTTTGCCAGTAGTGCAAAAAGTGATATATTGAGCTGCGAAAAAGTGATAACCTGTTGTGTGAGAAGATCTTTTTCTTGTTTTTATTGAACCCATATGACTCCATGCTCAATTTTGCATTGGTCCCATCCTGGTTTTGTGTTGAGTTGTCCTCTTGGTGCCCGATTTCACAACTATTGTCAACTCATTGTCATTGCTATCTTCTTGTCAAAGCTATCGAAGCATTGTCATCCTTGTGACAAGCATTGTTCATGTTCAAAACATGTGCTCGTCCTTGTTTCTTTTGGGAGAGGCTGTCACATGTGGTCACCATATCGATCACATGTTGTCACTATGTTGTTTGGCTGTTTGTGGTATCCCCAGTTCAGGACGTTCAACAGCTTGTAGACCAGACTTCTTCAGGGGCACAGCCTCTCAAATCAACCACCAGACTGCCGTGACGTCACAAACGGAAAAGTACCACCGAGCCCTCAGCAAAAGAAACCTCCAAAGACGCGTTTAGAACCCATAAGCTGTGCAGTATGATGCAGTATGTATATAAATGCAACATGTGCTTTGTGACTGTTTGGAGCTGCCGTTTTGAAGACATGTTGCGACAGCATATCATTTCTCCAAACTGCACAGCCGACAAAAAAACTGTTCGCGCCACGTAGGAGTCCAGCGCCATAGAGAAGTATCTTAGTGGCGTATCTGACAGCACACTGGGAGACCGTGCAAGTGCAGTGGGCACCTACCGCGAGTTCGTGGCGCCCCGGCTTGAACAACATCGAAATTGAGTTCCATTTGACTGCGAGGAAGAAATCAATCCGTGGTTGTTCAGTTGTTTTCAGCAGTTGAGCTGGGCTTCTTTGCGCGACACAGCCACGGGACAGCCGCGGTGATTCGGTCTAAGGTCTATCACCCGGACCAGGTCTATCCGGAGTATTTGGTGCTTTATGAGCGCTTACACGGCACCCGGCCTCCCGAGCCGCCACCAAAGGATATGCCGTTCTTACTGGAGCTGCCTTTGTATTGGAAGAATGTGGGGAAGAATCCGCGCATTCAGGACAGCAAAACAATCTCATTTCCGAGAGCTGTGCAAGCTGGCTCATCCTCCCAGAATCCTAGAACCCTCGGAATGCCTCACTCATTTTTGTTTTGGAATCTTGCAAGAAAGCAAGACGGGAAACAGGGTTTCACGGCTTGCATTTGCTTTTCCATTTGTTTCCTCTAAAGGGTTTCACTCCTGCAGGAGTTTCGAGAACATTGGCAGGTAAAGCAAAAGATCACCAAGCTGATCTATCGTATGGCATTGCATACCTCAGAGAACATGTGCCCCAAGGTTCGCTAAACGAGTTTACTTGCACGACCCGACAGGGTTTTCAGATCCGATGCCTTGGATCGGGGCAGCCTGGGGCGGAAACCGACCGACCCGGAACCAGGTCCAACGAGTGAAGCGAGTCGAAGATTCGGTGCTTTGGTGCAAATATATGAATTGGAAGAAGCAGCTCTCCCAAGAGCTGAGCAAAAGAAAGATCGATCGATGTAAACCACCCAACGTGCCCGGGATGCAGGTGAGACCAGTGAATCAAGTTAAGCCGAAGTTTGTTAGTTTGAAGTTCATCAAGCAATCGTCAAGCTTCCCTTATCCAATGTTAAGAGCATAGCAATGTTGCATTGGTGGCACTCAGGAGCTTGATGGAAATCCCAATAGTGGCCATGTCTTGACTGGGGAGATCCAAGCAGAGCATGATGGTGACGAGGAGATTGCTGTCAATTCGATTGTGCTGGGTGAACAACTATGCAAAGCAGTGGGATATATGCAGGTTGTAATGTTACATTATATATAAGAGAACGTGTATGTACTATACATACGCAACATTTTAAACATCATGTACATCTTACGCGATAGCTGATCTATTGTTGTGGCTGTCAGAGTCAGAAGCATTTGACCATCCCCAACCAAAGCTTGGCAGCTATCATCTTTACTTTGCAAGGTGAACACTCCCCAAACGGTGCTGCTTGATGGAGATCGGCATCAGACCACCAAAGTCCTTGACTTTTCCATAATCAAGCGGGCCAGCATTTTAGCGTGGAACCCCCTTTCTTGTTTCGTTAGTTTTCTTCTCCCTGACCTGGGGCGAGAACGTTCCTTGCCACGCGGGAGGCCATCAGCTTGGAGAACATGGTCCCTGGGCTCAACGAGCTCCTTTTGTGGCACGGCACTAGCCGCGAGGCGGCCGCCGCTATCGCCAGCGATGGGACACTCGGTGGAAGGCTGTGATTGGTAACCAGAGAATAGCTTTTCAATGGACTTCAATGGTACAGATTTTTCTGTCACAAGACCTGAGAGGGCACCCCCCATCACCCACCATCCTTTCCTTTTCATCTTCATAATCATTTATTGTGCTGATTGCAGCCATTTAATTAATGATTGATGGTTTCGCGGTGTAAAGGCTTTGTATAGTCAAAAGAAGTCGAGAACCATTTGTAAGCCAATGTACCCTTCCAAGGTTCATTCTGAATCCCAGTGCTTTGCACGGCCGCCGCTTTGGTAATGGTGTCTACCTGGCGGAAGATCTCCGGAAGAGTATGAGTGGGGCACTGATTTGCTGAAGCTCAGAGGGGGCCAATCATCTCCTCAGTTTGAACATGAGCGAAGACAGACTTGATAGCCCCTGTTTCGACGACTTGACATGATGTGTTGTTGAAGATTTTTCACACGCCCTGGCTGTGAAATCGTATTTTGAGGGCCTATAGATGCCTATGCCTTGCAGCATCTCAGCCCCTTTTCAGCCATCCTCCAGAAACGCCTGCTCTCAGGCTACTGCAAGGAATCGGAGGGTGTCCTTCACGTCCTCTTGTGTCGTGCCGTTTGTGGCGAGATCTTCTACACCGAGAAGGATCGACACGTAGATGCCCCCGACGAGGCCAAAGCAGCGAAGAAGCAATCGGTGCTGGCCAATCCTGGGAAGGTTCGGCACACCGGTGCAATGGGGGAGCCCGGTGGGGAAGGAGGATGTCTGCCAGATGTCGACTCCAAAAGCGACAGGTCAGACATTGTAAAAAATGGTCCAGACATCAAACTCAAGGGAAAGGAGCGCGCACGCCTGCCAGAGTGCAGCAAATAGACTCAGATAGGGATCTCTCAACAGGCTTTGTGTTCGACGTGAACACTGAAAAATGTGATTCTTTGACCCAGTGATGCCCAGTGCATTCATTGCAGTAGAGGTGTCTCGATACTAGTTATCGCTTGCTTTCGCTGAGGCCCTGCGTAAAGAAAAAATACTAAAGGAAGCAAGCGAAGCGTCGTTGAATGTGATATGTGATATATATATATATGTCTGATTCAGTGGTGAAACTGCAGTTTCACGAACAGAGCGCACTGCAGTTTCTTTGGGGTCCAAGAACCTGTTTGCACTTCACGAGTCGAGCCATTAAGACAGCTTGACCTGGCGGCCACAGCCAGGCCAAGTGGCTTTTAGTGCAAAACACATGATATCACTCACATCACTTATCATGTTTCCGAACATCACCAGATTCTAGAGTCTCCCTCTCACGAGTGCCTATGCCACAGGTCACAATGTCCCAAACTGGGCAGACTCTAAATTAGGATGCTTGAAATCGAGCTTGACTCAGAGCCACATTGTGTGGATAGGGCGGGGATTCAGCCGCTGTTCTCGACGTCAGGTGGGCCCAAGGGAGTACATCCTCTTCGAGACCGCACAAGTCTATCCTGAGTACATCGTCGAATTTGTGACTAGAATGACGGAGTAAGTTGCTTGACATCTTAAGATGCAACTTCTCAATTTTCTGAATCTAGCTGCGAAGGTTGCTGTGATTCCAGTACTTTAGAGGCTTATACTTATAGTAAATGACCCTGAGCTGCTTCCTACTGGCCACGTGACAGTTGTCAATGTGGGCTTTTGTCAACGTGGTCTTTTTGTCAGGGAAGAGCCCTCCCAGACTCCCAGACTCGGCGCGACCGCCGCGACTTGGGGCCTTGACCCCCGACCAAGTCGGTGATGATAGGCTCCAAGGTTCCAATCGACATCGTCTGGAAAAGAGCTTTCGCGAGAGTGGCAGTCGGTGCAAGTGGTTTTTGCCAGCGTCACACGCATCGTCAGCTACACATGGTCAATTGTTGGAAGGACCATGGGGGACCTTCACCAAATCGATTGAGTTTTCACTGAATTTCCCATGTTGTTTGGTTGCAGGTGTGCCTTGAAGAAACGCTTGAGAACTTGAGCAGTTGATGTGCTCAAATGGATCCAAAGTAGCAAGTTCGAGGCCAACATGTTGAAACATGCTGCGGCCTCGGCAATTGTGTGACTGTCTCGAATAAACTTCGATGCCCTTGAGTGGAAGTTCACCCCAATGTGCTTCAATCCGGGCTGACCATTCACCCATGCTCTTTTGTCCAACAGGCTGTTTGTTTTGTAAATGTTTGTGCTTCTATCGATACTGACAGAAGCACACTTCGAATCCAAGAATCTATGGAACACAGACTAACATCAGTGGATTAGTATGCACATGTATGCACTATAAATACAATTAAATACACATATGAAAAAACACTGACCCTGCTACCCTTCCCAAAGAGTTTCGTCTCTGGGTGCACGTCGACTGCCTCAGCTCCCCCCCGTCGCCGAGGCATTGAGTCCATGGACCGGGCGCGCGGCGGGCGCGCTGCGCCGGAGGCTCCCCGCGTGGTCCCGGCGCGTGGACATCCGGACATTCAGTAGCCTCCAGGAAGGCTACTCGGAGTGATAGGTTTGAGAAGGGCAGGGATATGTGGAAAAGCCATTGGAAGGGGAAGGTCTTGATGCTTCTTGAGGTGCTTTTGGGTTGCAAGAGCTTTTGGATTAGAGATGCTTGGAGGGTGCTTCTTGGCACATCTGATTGCGCACTGAGGCAAAAAGAAGAAGCCGGTTGCCTTGGAGACTGTAGTCCCTCGGGACGGTTCTCGTGACGATCTCAAAATTCTTCCTAGTGATCCTGAAGGCTTGAAGCGCCTTGGTGGAAGTTCCACGTGCCCTCCGGTCAGAATTTGCATGTGATGGCCTGTGTACAATGCCTGAAATGTTTTGAAGAATGCCAAATGAAATCAAATAAAGAATGCAGCTCCCTGCTTTCAACACCATAAAGGGCAGGGCAGAAAACGGTGTGCCCAGCTGCCCCACCGCCACCGGACCTCGCTTCTGCGCTGAGGTTGAAGGTGCGTTCGCTGGGTAGCATCACTCTCGAAGACCAGAACCGCTTTGTGCAAAAAGTGAACGATCATGGAGCCGCAGTTCTGGTGCCCGAAGAGGAGGGCGACCCTTTGGCGGTTTACAAGACGTTGGACCGGTGGTTTGGCAACTGTATTCCACACGATGCGATGAACGAGCATGGCATCGTGGAGATCAATCCCGCAAATCCCACCAGCATCAACACGGCGAATCCGAAGAAGGAACACCTGCCACACACCGATGATGCCTACACTGACAGTCCTGCTGCGCTTCTAAGCCTTGCTTATTCTTGCTGATTGCATCTTCTTATATCTTATTTGCTGATTTTCATTTTTTCTCTTATTTAGGAGCATTGCACCCGTGTTGTTCATCAAGTGAGCAGTAAGGCATGGGCGCTGCCTGTTAGTTGCTAGAGATACCCTCATGCAGCATATGTGTGTATGACCTTACATAGTTCCCCGAACAAAGGTTTTGGTGTACAGATTCTGGACACCACCTCTTTGCATACAAGGGGAACATGTTCACTGTACGTATGGGGGGGATGACATGATGACATATACTGTATATGTACACTTATACATGTATTTATATATATGATATGATATAACTACACACACACATACACGCAAAAAGAGAGAGAGAGAGAGAGATGCACATGCATACATGCAGTTGGCACGGCCTGACTTGCTGAGATATCTAGGTTTTAGATATATCATTATACACCTAAGATATTGCTCTTGATCCAGAGGATACCTTATACATATACATATATATATATATACATACACATATATGTATATATGGGGAGGGTTAGACTTTGGAACCAGGGCACGAGTAGCAAAGAAGAGTCGTGAAGACTTTTCAATCGTTGTCATTCAATTCCCAAATGTTCAGCACATTCAACACTTGGGGTTTCCAACTTATAAGCATTTCTGATTTCTTCATGCCAACTTCTTCCGTTCTACCACATTAAGGGGAATTATGCTGAAAGCCTGTGTTTGATAGATCTATAGTTGTGTGTGTGCGTTTCGAAACAATCCAAAGTTCCCGAATAACATCATCACGTAGAATTGATTGAACATTTAGGTAGAATTGAATCGTTTTTTGTGATTCTTTTTAGGCGTTTGCACGAAAGATTGTTCAGACAGTTCTTTTAGATAGTTCTGATGCTGTCATGTCTTTTGATGCTTTGCTTTCTTTTTTTGTACTGATGTAGTTTGTCAGTCTTTCTCCTCAAGTAACCTCTGATGTAGTGCTCATGGAAACTATCAGTCACGTCATCACTTTTGTCTGAACAACTTGTCTTTAGTCAAGTCAAGTATCTATACTGAGTTGGTGCCATCCATATGAAATTCCTGTATTTTGTCATTGAGAACTGATTGTAATCAAGAATGGTTGCATCGCCTTCTATACTGCCTTGTGCAGAGTGGCACGTGGAACAGGAAGGAAATAGAACAACTTCTCACTTTATCTATGCATATTGATTGAAGCCTACATGTTTTGGCATTCTCCAATGTCATCATGACAACAGTATTGTATCAACAACTCGCATTTGAATGCTGACGACTCTGTCGTTGCATACTCGCCGCACATTAAGACTTCACTTTCTCTTTTTAACCATATATTCCAGCTTCCTGATTTCATTTGATACATTCTTGCAATAGTATTTGTCAACATGGCGATGTTGCTTGTTGGCACCTGATGTTATGAGTGTAGGAAGAATACTTTCCAATCAATTGGTTTATAGTTTGAAAACAACATGTACAGTAGTATAGTAGTCCTTTATGCCTCACTTCCAGCTCATTCGCACACAATGTGATTTACATTTTAATTTGCCTCGAGGTCCAAACATCTTCACACCGACACTTTGAGACATTCTAGTGTAGAAGAGTGTAGAAGACTTTCTAGTAAGACATTCTTATACTAGGAGCAAGGACGCTACTAGGGGCTTCTGGCCTTACTACTAGGAGCAAGAAGCTACTAGTAACAAGTGCATCGCTACTAGTAACAAGAAGCTACTAGGGCCAAACATCTTCCACATTCTGTTTCTCCACGCACGTTGACCGTCATCGCGTCCACCGTCGCCTCGGCGTCACGTCCGAGGTTCTGCACCTTGCAGTGCCGGACCTCGGCTGCCACGGGCGGCGAGTCCGTGTTGGTGAGTGGCGCGGAGCTGTTGGCGGCCCTGTCCAACGAGGAGCTTCGGACCTTGATGCAACCGGGCTCCTGGGCTTTAAACAGATGGCCGAGTTTTGGTGAGTGGTGAAGAAGGGGTGGTGGTGGTGGTGCTGGTGCTACTGCTGCAAGTGGTGGGGGTGCGAGAAGGGGTCCAAACGAAGAGGGCCAATGACAAGAAGTACTGGTGAACACACCAACTGTTGTGTCAACACAACAGAAAGACTGACACCAACTGTTGTGCTGGTTGGATGGGGGATCCCTCCCCCGAAACACACTCGCTGGTGGCGCTTTTGGGATGAGATTGGAGACTTCGGCCCGACCCCTTTGGCTGGTGATGGCGAGGGCCACATACCCGACCTGGTGATGGCGAGGGTGGCTCGCATCGAGATGAGGCATGGTCTCAATGGGAAGGCGACCTGCTGCTGATGGCTCTTGGATGAAGGTCAGCTCCATCCCACTCTTTTGGGTGGATAAGGAGCCGAGATGTGTTGTGACATGCGGATGGTCAAACCCCAAAAGCAAGCCACTCTAGTTGAAGATTCAAGCAGACTGTACAGGCAGACTTTGCAGGCACCTTGTGCTCCCCCGAGTTTGATCCATGCAGCAACAGATCCCGTCAAAGAATGCTGGCAGGTGCTTTGTAGCGACCAGAGTATGCCACACACCGCTAACTGCCAACTGTTTCAGGATCACCAGCACTGAGTTGTACAGAGACCCCAAAAGATACCCCGCATTTTCCCGCCATAGCTGTGGGTGTTGGTGACGAGTGACGACAATTATATACTGTAATTCTTGCTTGCTGAACTTGCATATATCGCCCCTGGCAGGACTCTGGCTGGCTCCAGGTTAGGTGGCGCTGCAATGATGGCTGTGTCGGGGATGTTGCCGCAGAAGTAAAGCCTTCCTATGAGCAGATGGACGCAGTTGCTAGACATGAGGTACACCAGCTGGTTGTGCCTCTGAACCCTGGAGAACTTTTGATCGTAGACAATCGGGCTATTGCACATGGCCGTCGCCCCTATGAGTCTGACGACCCTCGAATAATGTGGAGAAAGAACTACGTAGGGAATGGTGAGCTAGAAGCTCAACTAAGAACTGGCATGTGCGCCGCTTTTTCCAGTATGTTTGATGGACTGCACAGCATGTTCGATCCTATGTCTCTGGATACCTCCAAGCTGAAGATTTAAACCTGGCGCTTGGAATGTACAGTGAAGTAGGTACAGGAAGGACGCGTCGGAAGAGTTGACAGCTAGTTTCCCATATTCTTACTCGTTTGAAGCTAGTTGAAGCTAGAAGCCTCCTTTCACAGGACACCATCAAACCGACAGCTGGCAATGCAGACTCAGACGCAATCCCATGCGGGATCCACGAGTGGTAGTGAGAGACTCACGAAATTCGTGTGGCCGCACAACCTGTTTGCGGCCATCCACTCCACTTTGTGTGGCCTCGGCAGAGTTGTGTCCGGTGAGGGCTGTGCGCCAATGCGTGCACCTGGAGGTTGTTCACACCAGAAGTACCTTGAATGCCCCAATTATGCAGGGGGGAGAAACACCATAATGTCCACGAGTTGCGACATTTTCGAGCAACCTTGACCCGGCTAATACTTTTGAGTGTGCTGGCGGAATCTTGAATCCGACGAAAAGGACAAAATGACCACTTCATTTGGAAAGCACATTTAAGATCCGTTTCCACGGCAACAGATCTCTTTTCTCATTGGCTGCCGCGATGACATGTCAAAATGCCGCAGGATCAAGGACTTTACGAAGTCTATCTGGACAAAACAAAAGATGTTAGGCGCTAGGCCCTAGGACCGAGCAGCTTCGGTATTGCTGTGGGACTGTTGTACTTTTGTTGATAGCAAAAGTCTTTGCCGAGTCACTCAGGCAGCAAACATGTAAGAAAGCAAGAGATTAAGGTCACTCAGTCATACACCTGTCCAGTTACATTGGTGTTGTCCAAGGGCCCCAAGGGCCTTCTTTTCGGCTGATGGTTTTTTGTGGTACTCATGGACTGGATCCAGAGCTTGAGTTCTTCCATTTGTAACTGTCCCTGCTGGTCACGCAAGCACGTCGGTCTCTTGGATACTGAAAAGGAGGCGATCGTGATGGAGGGTCATAAAGGAGAACATCTTTATACTTGGGCATTGCAACAATGGCAACACATAGGTTCACACCAATCTGTCAAAGCCCTCACAAGGGAGGGCAGAATCCTGGTGAATGGCTGCAGGGTTGCTGATTTCCACCGCCTCAGTGTGGGTGATCACGTCACCCTTCACATGGAACCCCATGTCTTATCTCTGTCGCACACCTTTGTCCGCCGGCAGGAGGTTTGTGCAGAGCATCAAGGTATTCGGCTGGAAGGCTTTTGTAAGATCTTCTTCTCTGATATTCTCACTTCCCGCAAGGCCATTCGTGAAGCTGTCAAGCAGGGCTCTGTGCGTGTGGATGGCATGCAGCTAGAACATACTCGCATTTTGCAGGAAGGTTCTTTGGTCGAAATGTCACTCCCAGCCGTTGAGGCTTTGCGGGCACTATGCCCGGCCAATTGCTGGCCTCGGATTGTTCATGAGGACAACGCCATAGCTGTCGTTTGGAAGGAGGCCAATGTGAAGTCAACTGGTGGTTGGCAAACCGCTGAAAACGGTGCCAGGCTTCAAGTGAAAGCTTCTCGCGACTCTGATGCTTTCGACGAAAGGTTGAAATCCGTGCACCGTTTGGACAAGCCGGTGGCAGGCTTGATGCTCATGGCCAAGACCTATGCTGCTCATCGGCAATTGATGTTGTGGCTGAAGGAGAGGGGTCAGATCTCCAAGATCTATCGTGCCATTGTTGAGGGTGATCCTTTGCCAAAGGCGCAGAAGGTGGACTTGAAGCAACTAAACGGAACAAGCCTTCAGGGGCTGTGGTCTTTTCAAGTGGACGTGCCAGTGGAAGGTCGGGAATCCTTGAGCTATGGCCGGAAGATTGAGGAGATAGATGGCTTCAGCGTTTTGGAGCTTAGTCCCATCACCGGGCGCAGACATCAGTTGCGTCTGCACATGGCTTCACTTGGATGTCCCATCCTGGGAGACTCTGAGTATGGCCACGTGTCGCACCGAAACCACCGTGTCCGCGGCATGCTGTTGGCCTCGGTCGGGCTGCGATTTCCACATCCCATCACTGGGGAAGTCATGGTGTTTCAGGAGCCGGAGCCTCCACACTTTCAGTGCTGGCGACTTGCCCAGGGCGAGAGCAGGTAGGTGCTGGAAGATCATCGCATTCAGAAGCCCTCCCAGCTTCTTGGCTTGGTCTTCGATACAAGTTTCACTTCTTGGTTTGGATGAAGTCGAGATTGCTTCAGGCCTAGTTTCAAGTCCAATTCCTGCAAGCCTTTCAATCTTCTGAGGCTGTTGCCCTGCACTGCATGCGACTCCTGAGGTCCTGGTAGTTGGGCAGCACTTATGCAATCTTGTGCATACGCTTTTGACAGGCCAACTCAGAAGCAGAAAGGTGATGCAAATGGATGCTACTGGCACGAAGGGATGTGTTTTTTTGGGTTCTTTTTTCGATTCCTCTCCCGTTTTGGCATTGATACATCCTTGCCACTAGGTCATTGTGCTCATTCACTAGCTGATCTGCGCCAGAGTGTGCGGGCCCGTGATGCAGCTGCTTGAACCCTTATTGGAGTCACAAGTGACTCTTTCAGTGGCCCCAACCGAAAACAGTTTTGCTGACCAGGTTGCCCAAATGCTGATGAGATGGAGTCCGGAGCAGTCGTCGCTGGGCTGAAACCCATTGTTTCTGCAGATTGAGAGAAGTTTCTGCGCTTGCAACTTGCACCCTTGCTGGAAGCGTTCGTAGCTGCTCACAAAGAAAGAATAAGAATGAAGTGCATGCTGCATGCAGTAAGATTCTGCAAGCCATCAATTCAAACAACAAATTATGCCAAGCTCACAAAATGTCTCAACCGGACCAGACTTGCAAAAAGCTTCAACCAGCTCAGGCATGAAACAGACCAGCATGCACCTTCCAAACACGCCGTCATTGAACCTGTCAGGAAGCCTTGTGAGCGACTCCTGTGGAGCAACCCCCGTTTTGTTGCCATGTTCGCCATCCCTGTATCTTTGCAAGTTCCCGTGGCGCAGGCTCAGTCCAGAGCACTGTACTGAGATTATGTGATCCATTGGGACACCTCATGTGATCCATTGTAAAGACTATTTTTCTGCTTGTGAAACATGCTGGTGACATTGATGTCAGACTTGGCTTGGAGTTGCCACTGAAACGCTAAGGGACCTACGCCCAGGCCACAGCCAGCACATCCACCGAGGACTGCTGAAGAGATCCGCGGTGAGTTGTTAGGCAATTTGCATGGGCCACTGTTCCCTACTTCCTATTACTTAACCATGGTCCCCCAGTAAAGAAACAGGAGAGAAACATGAGAATGTTTGGCAATAGGGTATGTTTATTGTTAATGGGGATCTCGCGGTCCTTGAGAACTTGCTTTGAGCCTAAATCAATGTATTTGGCGGAATATTGGCAATTCTTGGAGTCCATCTAATGCGCCCAAAGCCTAGACGTTTTGGCACGAAAAGTGATAAAAATAACATATTTTGGGCAGGACAACTGCCTGTTTGTTTTTGTAATGTTTTGTCGGGGCCGTGTAGTGATAGGAACTCGAGACTCGAGATTATGTTTGGACAAGACCAGCGCATTCTATCCACAATTCACCGAGCGACCCAACACGTCTTCTGGAGCATTTCTCAGCGCTTCAGGAATCTTGCACCATTCTTGTTGGCATCACCTGCAGCTATCTATGCAGGAAGACGTCGCTTTCAGGCCCCAACATCAAGTTCTGTGGGTCGATTGGTTCATTCGCCGGAGTCGCCTTGGCATGTTCAGGCTCAGAGGCCGTGTGCCGTGCACAGATGTGCTACAGCAGCACCTTGGCGGATGGCAGAATCGGATTCCATGGCTTCAACAATAGAAACATCAATCAATTCATCCATTCATGTACTGGTGGTGTCTATGTGCTTGTCCATTGTCTATGTATTTGCCACTGGATTGAGATGAAGCATGAGCCCTTGATGGCATAGGTGAAAGAGCAAGCTCAAGGAGAGCTCATTGCAGAGCTTCTTGGCTGCACCAGGCACTGCACCAGGCACCGGTGTTGTATTCTACTGCATCAGCGTTCCGGACCACAGAGCGCTGTGGGAGATAACACCCTTGCCCCTTCACAGCAGGTTTGACCGGGGCTGCCTGGTCATGTGGCTACTACCACAGCAAGCCTTGCAGCTACTTGACTGCATCACATCACATCAGAAACTCGCCATATGTCGCCAACTATGTGGATCTTGAAGCAGATACTGTCAGCCAAGAATTTGGGAAGATTCTCCGGCTTAAGCCGCAGTCTGGAAGCTGCCTTGCTCAGGTTGGCCGGCTGGCTTGGCGAATGGGAAGGAGAAGCCTTTGGCAGCCAAGAGACGAACTTCTGGCGGCAACGGATGATCCTTGCAGCCCGGATGGGAAGAATCAAGGAGGCTCTTACGAAGAATGAGAGAACCAACGGTGGCTGAAAAACCTATGGACAACTTGTCTTGTAGCTCATATAGGCTATGCGGCTATATATAGGGTCAACAGGTAAAACGGGTCTTTGAAGTTCCTTTGGTGCCAGATGTATATGGTTCTGCCTGAGGCACCCTGTGTCGCAATAGGTTTGCATATTCACACCACGCAAACCTTTGCGGTGGTCTGTGGCCCCCGTTGTCCGGACGAGCTTCACATGAGGCCATGAAGAGCCGTTTGGAAGCTTTGGCCTTTGATGCGAGTTCCCTACCTGCAGTGGTGGGGATGCACGCGAACACCGTTTTATGGTTGTTTTGGATCGACGGATCGATTTGCTTGAGATGGACAGTTCGAAACCGTGGTAGACTGGGTAAGGGAAACGACAAAATCAAATGGTTGTATGCATGCACATTAAGTTGCACATTTAAAATATATTCAGACGGGTTTTGTTAAGACAGTATGAAATGCCTCATGTTTAGTTTTGCAACGTCAATTTCCGGAAATTTTGCGCGGCACGGACATGTCCTGAGCACGCTATAGCACGCTCGTTTTTGTCGTTTTTTTTCATAGAACACAGTGGAATTTCGATTCAGAGCTATCCTATTTGTTTCCGAGGGTTCGTCGTGTATTTTTGCTCATAGTTGTGTGAAACAACACAGGTCTAACGCGTTATCATATTTTATCCATTCGGCAACTCATCTAGTTGCAGCTTGAGAGCATGCACCCTCATGAAGCTCTTATGAAGCGGCGTCTCCAACCTCTTTCGGCGTCTCTTTGGATGTCCAAGGCCCAAGAGACCAACCGCCATTCCAGATCTTCTCCGTCCACAAGTCGACACTTGGACTTGTGTCCCAAGAGAAAGACCTGCTCCAGCACAGGTATTGAAATTGAAATACTCAAATATTGCAATATGAAGTTCTGGGCCCTGAATGCAGGCATGAAAACGGCAAACCCAGGTGGTCTGAAACGCTTGAGCAACTGAGCGTACCTGGCCAAGCCAACTGGTCTTTGTCGCAGCGGCAAGCAAGCATTCCAAATTGAACTCAGGTTCAGCACGAGCAGACCATTAGCAATGGCTATGGCAGCATGGCAAAAGTGTGTCGACTCGTGGACGTCCCAAACGCAGACATGCAAGATACTTGCAACATCAGACACTTGCAACGCGTTGAGTTGAGGTGTTTAAGTTCGCAATGATGATTTGACAATGTTTGGCTTTCAAAGGATGTGGGGTCAAACGAAATCACCAGGTCCTGGATGTGGGGTCAACCGAAGGATGTGGGGTCTTGGAAAAGTCAGCGAGTTTGTTGCAAACTGAGGTCTCAGACAGGTCCTTCAATCTGGAGCCGTTGAATGCCTTGCATTTGGACCACATTGTAGGCAGTCCAGAGCAACAAGCCAAAGGGTACCTTGGTCAAGTTGGGTTCTGTTCAGCTTTCCTGGTTGGACTACTTGCTCTGTGAGTGCATTTTTGCAGGAATGATGATGTTCCAATTCAAGAAAGTGCTTGACGGCTCGCAAAATGCTGCATTGCTTGTTTTAGGTTTGGAGCCACACTTCTTCAAGGTTTGGTGCAGCGTGCTGCCATGACCCAGCAGGCAGACCTTTCCCTCTAGACACACGGAGGCAAACATGTGCCTTCTTGTGAGTCGTTTGACACATTAAGACATCTTTCTCGGTGTTTGGCTTCTCATTCTTTGTACACGATGTGTCAACAGCTCATCTATCCTTTCCCACACTTTTGTTCTCTCGCTTTGTTGCAAAAGGAACATATGGAGAAGTCGGACAATTAAGTTTCCCTAAGCGCTTCTTCAACAAAACTCCCCCCCGCCCTCAGGCGGGGGGAGCGTGAGCTACTGTATCCTGCGTCCTAGCTAGAAGCTTCCTATTGCTAGAAGCGAACTCGTCACTAGTCGCCCTTACTTCATTAAGTTGGCGCCTACTTAATCAAGTAAGGAGGCAGGCCGCCACGGGCTTTAAAAATGATGTCATTGACCTCTTCAGAGGTCTTGGTTTTGGAGCCTCAGTCTCCGGGCTTGGAAGCCTACTTCGGGCGCCTTGGCTTTCGGCACGTCCAGGCCAGGAAGAGTGAAAGTTTCTTCCTTTTCTGTGGCAGACTCTTCAGTGAGCGTTTAGCTGCCTAGGATTAAGACAGACACGCATTATTGTGACACTGCGTACTGTATATATAGTGTTATAGATACATACACATACATCCGAAAATGCATTCGATGATGCGAAAGCCTTCGAAGCTGCAGCTTTTAAACCGATGCCACTTGCCTCATCTGCCACTTGTCTTTGGATCCGTCAGGAGGTGGATCCATATCTTTGGATTCCTTCTGGGAAGTTGGACAACGAGGTCTGTCTGCGCTTTGTGCTGTCCGAAGATTCGGACCACGAGAGGTGCGCTTTGTGTGTGTGTGTGTGTGTGGGGCAGGAAGCAGTAGGAGTTTTGTTTATCATCGTTGGCTGATGGCTCGCTTATGGCTTCCTCGTGGGCATATACAAGGATTTGACACAGATTCGGGGGGGAAGAGAACGCAGGTATGCTTCAAGTAGAACTTTGCAAGGGAGTCACAAGCACAGGGCCACCTGCTAACATCATCTGAAATTGCTTCTGTGTGGCAAGGCCATGGCTTTCCTATGGTATTGTTTACCTTCGGAAATAAATGTGTAGATTTATGTTAGCCACTTAGCATAACTCTGATGGTATCTCACGTAACATGACAGATCACAGGGGTAATACTTCTATATAATTCACCTGGGTAAGAATAGCAGCTAAATTACACGGTGCAGGAATCCCTCACCTTTCCTGCATTTTGACCTTTACAAAACCTCGATAGGCTTCCTCACTAGGCGCTACTTGATGTCGAGCTTCGCTGTGAAGCTTGATTCATCCACTGACAAGCTGGAGGCTTCTCGCTGCATTCAAACGACCTCCTGAGTGGATGGGTGTCACTGAGGAGTTCTATGTGGCCTCCCGACAGGCATCCTTATCAAATGCTTTTTGATACCGGATGGAGAATTGCACTGGATGCTTTGTTCAATACTGACCTTTCGTTTTTCACCTTGATCTGAGACGTTCTTTTGTTCGTGCGAAGCCTGCCAGGACACGTCCTCCTTAGATGTGTTGGCCCTTTTCGCCTGCAGCCGCGCGTCCTGCCGCCGCGGCTTCGCTCGACGGTTGAAGCGATCCAAGCCCAGTGCAGCCTACGAGGCGGAGAAATGGATGGAATACATGTATTGTGATCTATTGTGATGTATTGTGGCCCCTTAGGGCGCTTTGGGGCACTATGGTGCACTTTATTGGATTAGACACACTTTGGGACCAATCCAACAGGCCACCCCTATGCAGCCTCGTCCGAAAGACATTGTCTGGAAGATGCCAAAAGAACAGAAAGAAGTAGTGAGTGACACACGCATAATATGAGACTTCTGTCATGCCCTGTTAAACTTCAGTGAGTTGATCAGAAGGGAGTTGCTTCTCTTTGGGTCTTTTGGTCTTTTCCGTGGGCTTTTTTTGCCTCAGGTGGGAGACATCGAGGAGGTGGATCTTTCGGAGATCATGGCCATCATGCGAAGCCCCGAGAAGCTTCAGGAGGTGCGAAGGGAGGGACCACCGGGTTTGCCGCTACAAGAGCGGCTGCAAGCGGTTTCCCCGTGTCATGGGTTGCCGGTGGATCTCGTAGAAACTGTTTCCTCAAGGTGTGAGTGAGACATGCGTATTTGGAAAACATTGGAAAACACGTCCAATTTGGTCCAGAAACTGTGCGCTCAAGTTCAAGACTTGTTCAATGACCTTGTTGAGATCATACAATACCTGCAGAACGGCATGCGGCATGACAGAGATCATCCCCAAGTGTTTGGCATGCAATGACCCTTAATCTCAAGACTATCCACTTTGCTATGGCGGGTATGGCCTACCAGGTGAGCTGGAGCTGCGCTGAAGGATTTGGCGAAGGACCTTGGACCTCGCTTCCAGGGAACTTCTCGGGATTGGGTCGCTGCAGCAACTTGGATTCGATTCAATGATTCTTGGGATGAATGGCGGGAGGAAAACTGGGCAGTTTCACAACGTTTGGTGGTCATGCTCTTCTAGTTTCTGGCCACACCCGAATCAAGATTCATTCGAGTCCAAGGCTAGTCAGCTATTGAGGCTTGGTGCTTCCAACCCATCTGCCCTGCTCGATAGTAGCCATCCAGTTTTGTCATTTCATCACTCGCATCCTGCTCTTCCACCGCCTGGTTGATCGCCTTCTGTGTGTCCCTGAGCCTCCGCGATCTTCCCAAAAGCTTGTTCAACGTTGTTTACCCTCGTAAGGTCAGAGTCTTCAGTTTGGTACTAATTTGTGTGGCTCAGGTATCTCACAGAAGGCATTCACTTTGCCCGGCCTCTTGTCCAAAACGGGTTTAAGGATTGATTCGATGGACGCAATGTGGACAACATGCTTTGGATGCTGTGCTTTTGACACCAAGTGTGCTGACACTCCAAGTCATCCAAGTCTCTCATTGCCGGTATTTGGGCCCAGGTGTGTTGCCATCTTTAGGCAAAATCGACTTGGTCATTGAGTCTTTGGAGCTGCAGATGAGAAGGGAACCTGTGGCTTGATGAAGGTTGATCTCACATCGAGTGCATGCAACATCATGGAATCATGTTGCTGTTGCCATGCTGCTGACGTTGTTGGAAGTCTGAAACTTGAAACTACAGTTTGACAGAATGTTTGACGTATGACATAGCTGAGTAGCCATGGCACAGGCCATTTTCTTCCACAACACATCACAAGACAAAACAATGCGTGGCGTACCGAGGCTGATTCCTTTTCTCATCAAGGGAGGCAAAAGTTAATAATCGAAAACCCTTCAGCAGCACATGTCAGGACCACTTCGATGGTACTTCTTAGAGCAGCCGTTTGTTACACCCGATCTGGACAGTTGTGGGTCTTTCAAGCACTAATGTCACATATTTTCGAGACTGAGGTGCACTCTGTATCCATTACGTGCAACCTGGGGATCCTTGCAGAGGCTTTTCGTGAGAAAGGTTTGATGAATGACCGCACTCTGATGGTTCTTGTTGTACACGTTTCTTCTAGTACAGTAGAAGAGGGAAAATGGACAGCCACATCCTGATGTGGCACAATAGGTGAAGATATCATAAGATATCATCATGCGGCACGCGCTTCCATGTTCGTTCGTCCTCCACCACTATGCCATGCGCTCATGCAGGTCCTAGAAGTCACTCGGCACTTCTTCAACACCTTTCGAGTCCGGGCGGCTTTCCATCGGAACCCCTTAGCATGGAACTTGGAGGCGAGGAAGGGCGCTCTGAGAATGCCAACGATCCATGAAGCTTACGGTACAATCTGTGAAGCTCATGTAATTATATGTATATCATTACATAATCACATATCTATAGATGGAATACAACACAAGAGGCTTGGATGATTATATAATATTGTGTAATAATCTTATGACCTTCCAAGACAACATTCTCCATGGTGAATCAGGTCGAAACACCTGGTCTCAGCTGTGAGAATCGACCGACTCTGAGTATAAAACTCTGAGTATACAGCTCTGTAAGGCTACACTGTAAGGACCAAGAAATACACACTCTGGAACTTCCATAATTGGTGGGCACTGGATGAACTTGCTTGGACTGCTTTGGATGCTGTGCTCCACTGGACGTTGAGACGACCTGGGACAACCAGGTGGTCCAGTCAGATGGTTTGGCCTTGGCCGCGGTAGAGTGTCCACCACTTCCAGGCGAGTTCGTTCGTCGGGTGGCCATTGAGATTCCCCAACCTTTCGACCTCATCACCGCATTTCGAACACTCAATGTTTGATTGGTGCGACCGATGTTGGGGGAGGTTGAAGCCATCTCTTCAAATCTTTCTATGTTCAATCGGAACTACTGGTAGGAGGAGTGACTCGAAGCGGATGAAGCGATGTCCTTCCTGCCGAATCAATGCATCTCATATTTGGATGCACCCTTCTGACTGGAGGAAAAATACATCCATCCAACATGTCATAATGAGTACTGTGTTGTTAGTTGGAAACAAGAAGAAACCAGTGCTTTGTTTCAACGTTTCTAGGGACGATCCTTTGGTCAATTTGACGATCCAGGCGATGAAAAGAAGAAGCCGGAGGATATGGATATTTTCTGAGCGCAACTGTTCTTGTGACCAGGGATGAAGCAGTCTCTTAGACCTGTCACCTTGCCCAAGTGGCAGTGGTCATTCTGGTATTACTGAGCCGAACTGTGCAAAGCTCACTTCAGTTTGGCGTAGCCGAAGCTTGGAGCTGGAGATCACGAACGAACTTGAACTAAGATCTCAACCCAGGCATTCCTCTCTCACTCTCGGGCTTCAAGTGATTTCAAGTCCAGGATTTGCCACGATTTTCCCAGCAACTGTGGCGCCCAAAGAAAGTGCTTTGGGAAACGCAGTTGCACCCTTTTTTGGCAGGTCTTTGACCCCTTCGACCGCAGAAGTGCAAATTGCTTTTGCAAATGCGGATGGATAGAACTTTAAGTAGCATAAGACATAAGACAAATGGATGTGAGTCAAGGATTCCCAAGCAAGACTGTCAATTTGGTTGGAGAGATGGATCAGGTTCCTAAGTTGTCCAAAGGTTCATGACCATGGTTTCTCCACATTCCGCAGGTGCAGACATGGAAGAATGCTTTCAGGCCTACTTATATACCTATTGTATCTGAAAGAGTTCTGCGGAGGATGACTGTAGCAACGAACAGATGCCCCATGGAGTGTGGTTCAGGGTTTTGGGCTTGTCTGACGTGATACTGGTACTGGGGAGCTTTGTCACTCTTGTTAGACAGAAGATTTTGAAGACAAGATGTCACGCCACTCTGGCGAGGCACCGATTCACATTCATAAGAACATGTACAGAGAATTCTAGCGCGAACTGTGACATAGAAGTCACAGCAGCGTACCATGTCAGGGTCTGGCCTTGGGTCCTCAGCCTTAGCCCAACTTCCCGCTGTGCTGTCGCAAAAGGAAGTCATCGAATGTCCACCATGTGAAGCATGCGCGGGCTCATGGGTTTTCTCCAGAATGCTTTTTCTGAACATTTTGTCTAGGTGCTTCTCATTATCAGAAAGGACATGCTTGGTCAACAGAGCAAGATCTGGTCTGCTACGCGAACTTGGGTGCCCTGTCCGCAGTTGGCGATGCCGAAGACACTTGCAGCAAGATTGTTGAACAGCATGAAGATTTCACCCATCGCAGCACTTCTTGCTCCTTTTTAATAGACAGAAGGGATAGTGAACGGAGCAGCCATTTTGCCATGAGCTCTGACTCCATTAGCCGTGTAGCTGTGGCCAGCATGGTGGCCGGAGCCGCAGCTACCGCCTTCGTAGGCCCATTGCAGGGAGCTCGCGCGCCAAGCCACACGACTCACACGATCCAAGCTCTTCGGGGCAACTCCCAGGCAACACAGGGCTTGAGCCTTGGCACGGCAGCCATGGGAACCGCTGGCCTGGCTGCTGTGGCCAGCAGCTTGCGCAAGCGTTCCAGCCGCTCTGCACGCGTGGCACGCCAGCAGGCGCCTCCCAGCGTGGTGGCTGAGCGGAAAGTCGGAGATTTGTCTGGAGCACTGCCTGACTGCCCAAAGACGATCTGGAATGCCGATGACATCGACATCAAGAAGCTCCCTGCTGTGAAGAAGACGGCGCCCTTGATCATCGATGCTGCTGAGTTGGGGGATGAGTTGCAGAAGGGCAAAGAGAAAGAGTGGGTTGCTGCTCAGAAGGAGAAGATTATGGCTCAGCTTCAGGCAGGGATGACAACACCACTGAGATTGGGGATTTGACTGCTTCCCCTCAAAGTAATTCCTTCCTGCCTTCATGGTGTGTGAGTCATGTGATGGTGCAATCCATGTAATTCCTTCCTGCCAGGACCATGGTGCAATCTGGTTCAGGAACTTCGAGTCCACTAAGCAGCCCGACGGCTTCCGTGAGTTCTATGAGGCTTTGGAGCTGAATCCATGCCTAGACCCTATCCACACCTCAGGACTGAGAGCCATGGAAGAGAAGAAGCATGCCGTCTATGAGGCAGTGAACAAACCTTCCTTGGCGGGCCACTTCGTTGGATTGCACAACGAGTCCACCTTCGTGAAGACAGCAACTTTCAAGGAGGTTTACGTATGTTTACGTCATTTTTTTTTGTTCTTCTACAGACTTCTCTGTCAATGTTCCCCGGTTTAGCGATGCCACATGTGATGGAATGCGTTTGGTGGCCAAAAGCTCGGCAATTTCTACTTCCATCTATATAATTAGATAATTCAAATTGTTCAGACCGCTCCACTCTTGAGGCAACCTATGGCGCTTTTGTGTGCTTCCAGAAGGCATCTGAAGGAGGTGGGGAGTTCTTGATTGCGGATGGTGCCAAGATCTTGGAGGATATGGACAAGGATGTTTTGGAGAGGATCTACAAGAACAAGGTGAGGATCTCTGTGAGCAATTTGGATCTCAACTTCCTGGGATCTTTGCCAGATGGCTTCAGGGAGTCGGCCTCTGACTTCTTCCAGGATTTGATTCTGAAGGTCGTGGCTCCAAAGTTTGACATGGACCTGGAGATGATCTACGGTGCGGACCAATCCAACCCTTATCGTTTGCAGGCCATTGAGCATGCCCAGTCACCGATCAACAAACACCCTGTGACAGGTGCTGGGTGGGCGAAAGTCGTTTTCTGGGTGTTTGGAGTTCTGTGTGAATGGAACGATCCTTTAAAGCTAAGTCTGATAGATATGATACGTATGTGAACAACTACTATCGTTTGAATTCCCACGCAGTTCAGGCCAGCCAGTCTGGTTTTGCAACTTGCACAACCACAGCCGCTATTTGCGGGACCGTCGTCCTTGCACTGTCCCAGAGGTTGGCATGACTGACGTTCCTTGGTCGGCAAGCTGCGCGTTCTTTGGGCAAGACATGTGAAGATTCAAAGCGATATTGAAATCATGATGACCACAGGGTTCTATGACTACTACTGTAGTAGAGAGTGTTTAGAGTATCGGAATTTCCAGGTTAGGAAGCTGGGAGGCAAAGTTTTAGGGAAGAGTGGAAGAAACGACTAGGAAGAAACGACTAGGCCTTTTTGGCTGAAGCGGCTGTGCTGTGAGACAGGTCTACAGCGGAGATTTGTCCACCATTCCGTATGATGACGTCCGACACATCAACGAGGTGTGCGAGAAGAACATCCACACCATGGCCATGAAGGAAGGCGAACCGGATCCATCCAGATCCAGTGGTATCAATTCACATGAACCAATGCCATGATCCCAATGAGTCATGATAGGTGTCATCATGTCTCTCTCATATCACCTGCAGTGACTTGTTCCATTTTTGGCCAGAGTGGTGGGCCGATTTGCCACTCACCTGGTGCCATGAGGTGATGTCGTCCTTCTGGATAACTATCGTGTGCTTCATGGACGGAACACCTTCGAAGGGGACCGCAAGCACGCAGTGACCTGGTTTGAGTCCTGCGGGGAGCCTTTGAGCCAGAACCAGCAGCAAAAGCCGGATGACTTCATGAACGAGCTCATCAACAAGACCTTGGTGTAGACTCTAGACTACACGTCCGTTTTGGGCCTTAGACCGGTGATCGCTTAAACCGCACAAAGTGCGGTGACCATTCTCCAAGGAGATCACCTGATCTTCGTCATCCCTAGTTGTTCGCTGATCTTCGTCAGTTTTGTGTAGCTTGCCCCTTCCAGGTTGCCATCGTTGGCTGTCCAAACAGCAAGGGACTTTTTACATACCCAGCGCAGGGGAGTTAAAAACTGGTCAACATGACTGACTGCATTAACATTAACATTGCCTGACCTTCAGAACGTGGTCGTTGTGAGCTCACAGACATGAACCTGAACGCATTTAGTCCGCCAACTCTCTCCTGAGGTATGTCCACATTATGTGGAACCGCTTGACATCAATGGCTTGCTCTGAAAAAAAAACACCGACTGAAAGGTAAGGCTTGAAAGTCAATGCTGCTCAGGCAAGAAACTGAGCTTTATTTTGCTCTTTTCTCTTTTGATACAGTGAGAATGCACGAGTCTGAACACAAAAACCCTTGCGGCCAAAGCTCTGGGAAGTCACAAACGATTTCCTTACCTTCGAGTTAGACATGCGGTCACTGTTGTGAGACGTCCGACGATGTTTAACTCCACTGATTGTTGCCATTGGTGCTCCACAGTGCAGCTGCCACTCACAGCTTTTTGCGCATCCGCGAAAACTCACACTTCGTATTTCGTTGGGGCCTCACGTTTTGTTCATTTTCTCTTCTGCTTATTTCCAGGACTGCCGCGTTGCGTATTAGATTACAGTAATTACACGGAAGATTGAAATACGGGCCCTGGGGACTGCTGGCTGGAGCGTTTGATGCGTTTGCTTGTTGCGATGATCAGGTGTCCGAATAGACATGGGCCGGGCACACAGCCGCACTCAGAAGAAGGGTGAACGTATCCGTGAGCTGTTTGCCACTCATGCACCTTCTCTTCATATGAATTCATGGTCCAATCTGATCCACTCATGTGCAGTCAGCAGCATGATGACAGCAGCATGATTCATGCTCCGGAGATCCTCAGACCTGTATTGGTTCGAATAATTGCGAAACGGCCCAGCTCTCACAACGGCTCAGCGTTCGCTGCGTTTGCTGCGTTCGCTGCGCACGATCGGTTTGCGGCGCATGGTGCTGGAACTGGATGAACTTGCCAGTGGCATAGCGAGGAGAGGTGCCTCGGGTGCCTCTGGTGGCCCCAGTGCACCAGTTGCTTCAGCTGCAGGCAGCTCACCGGTGGCAGAGAAGAAGGAGAAGGAGAAGAAGGAGAAAGTCGCTAAAGAAAAACCTACATGGGGTGAGCCTGGAAAGGGAAAAGAAAAAAAAGAGAAAGCAAAAACCAAAGTTGTAGAGGAGGAGATCGTGCAAACTCCTCATGGTGAAAAGAAGGACATGACTCGAGCAATGGCACAAGCTTACAATCCAAAGGCTGTTGAATCAGCATGGGATGCATGGTGGGAGAAGAGATCTTTCTTTACACCAGATGCTAAGGCTGTCCAAGGCAGTTGCGAGTCAAAGAGGTTTGTGATGGTGATTCCTCCACCCAACGTGACCGGGAAGCTGCATTTGGGACACACCTTGACAGGCGCCATCGAAGATGCTCTTACACGATGGCACCGCATGTGCGGCAATGCCACTCTTTGGCTGCCAGGTGTTGACCATGCCGGCATTGCCACTCAGAGTGTTGTGGAGCGCCGTTTACTCAAAGAAGAGAAATTGACTCGCCATGATTTGGGTCGAGAGGCTTTCCTGAAGCGTGTTTGGGAGTGGAAAGAGATGAATGCAGGCCACATCAAAAAGCAGTTGCAACGAATAGCAGCATCAGTGGACTGGACCCGTGAGCGTTTCACCATGGATGATCGTTGCGCGAGGGCTGTAGAGGAGGCATTTATCCGATTTCATGATCAGGGCCTTATCTACAGAGACAATCGCTTGGTGAATTGGTGCCCATACTTGAGAACTGCATTGTCGGATCTTGAAGTGGATCATGAAGACATTGCTGGTAAGACTTTGGTGAGCATTCCAGGCTTTGATGACAAGGTAGAGGTTGGCGTGCTTTGCGAGTTCAAGTACATGATCAAGGGAACCAAAGATGCCTTGACTGTAGCAACTACACGATTGGAAACCATGCTGGGTGATACAGCCGTGGCGGTTCATCCAGAGGATGAAAGATACAAAGCCTTCCACGGCAAGGAGATTGAACATCCATTCTTCCCTGACCGGAAGATGGTGGTGATTGCAGACACCATGGTTGACAAGGAGTTTGGCACGGGCTGTGTGAAGATCACCCCGGCCCATGATCACAACGACTTTAAATGTGGTGTGCGACACGGCTTGAAGCAGATCAACGTCTTCTCAGAAGATGGCAATATCAACGAGCTTGGTGGAGAATTCAAAGGCCAGCATCGCTTCAAGGCACGAACTACTGTGGAGGAAGCACTGAAGAAGATCCTTGGCTGCAACTAGTGCCTCTGAGGTTTTTGTATGCCACGCTGAGACAGAGTCAATTTCATGATCAGGAAACAGAATTGAATGAGGGTGCTCCTTGTTCCAGGTCTAGGTGTGGAATCCTGTCTTAGCCATCTTTCATTGCCCCATTATGAACAATGAGGAAGGGACTTTGGGTTGGCAAGAAGTCTCACTCCATGCGCTTGGGCTTTTGTTCCCGCTCCAAAGACATCATCGAGCCCTACTTGAAGCCTCAATGGTGGATGAATTGCCAGGATCTCGCTGATCGAAGTGTGAAGGCTGTGAGGAATGGTGAGTTGAAGATTCTTCCAGAATTCCATCATCAGACTTGGTACCATTGGCTAGAGAATATTCAGGAGTGGTGCATCTCACGCCAGCTTTGGTGGGGTCATCGCATCCCGGCTTACAAGGTGGTGAAACCAGAGCAAAAGGAAGAGAAGTGGTATACCGGCAGATCAAAAGAGGAGGCTGCAGCAAAGGCTGCCAAAGACTTGGGACAGAAGGCACAGCAGCATTGAATTGCACTCATAGACAGAGTAAACAAGCTTTGCAAGGGGAATTGGGAAGTCGAAGTGTTGATGAAACGAATTGACATGAATTGGTGACACAGTAGGCTGAGTGCATGTTTTGCATACTGGTGAAAAGACCATTCATTGAACATTTGCCACTCTTGTGAGGTGGAAGTAGAGCAGGATGAAGACGTTTTGGATACCTGGTTTTCCTCCGGTCTTTTCCCTTTCAGTGTCTTTGGATGGCCAGACACTGAGAACAACGATGACTTCAAGGCCTTTTTCCCTACTTCGTTGTTGGAAACAGGCCACGACATTTTGTTCTTTTGGGTAGCACGCATGGTGATGATGTCCCTGGGCCTGACGGGAAAGCTCCCGTTCCACACCGTCTACTTGCATGTCGACTTCTCTCAGCTCTAACAAGTTTTTCTCGTTTCTGCAGAACTCTTAGAGCCATCTCCTAGTCCTGAAACGAAAAGAACCTGAGACATATAGATACGAATCACATTGCTAGGAACAAGAAGCTACTAGGGGCTCCTGGCATCGCTACTACGAGCAAGAAGCCACGAACGGGTCTCCTGGCCTTTCTACTGGGAGCAAGACGCTATTAGGGGCCAACCTTCGATCACCGAGACCACGGTTCAACGAGACCGGACATCGCCGCCCGCGCTTCGATCCGCCTCCGCGGCTTTTGCTTCCGCCTCCGAATAGCAAACATTGTTCCTAGTAGCTTCTTGTTACTACTAGTAAGGCACTTGTTACTAGAAGCGATGCACTTGTTCCTAGTAGCTTCTTGTTCCTAGTGGTAAGGCCAGGAGCCCCTAGTAGCGTCCTTGCTCCTAATAGCGATGCCAGGAGCCCCTAATAGCTTCTTGCTCCTAGTACTTGTAGTCCGTGTTTTGTTGTTTTGCTTCACCGAGGCCATGGTGCGGGATGCCCACGGCCGGAAGATGTCGAAGAGCTTGGGCAACGTGATCGACCCCTTGGAGGTGATCGATGGCATCGACCTGGAAAACCTCCACAAGAAGCTCTATGAAGGGAACCTCCCTGACAAGGAGATTGAGAAAGCCAAGAAAGGCAGGCAAACATGGGATGACCCAGGGCATTCGATGGTTTTGAAAAGGGGCTTCTACCTTTCAGCATGCTGGCCATACAGTCATACAATGTCATACATGATATTACATGACCATACAGTGACACACAAATTGCCGTCCATTTCATGCATTTATCATGGACACATCCCTCCGCCAAAGCATCGTCGAAGCATCGGAGAGGTCAAGCGCAAGACTATCCTGATGGGATCCCTGAGTGTGGTGCAGATGCCTTGCGCTTCGGCTTGTTGGCTTATACCCTTCAAGGAAGGAACGTGAATCTCGACATTAACCGCGTGGTCGGCTACAGACAATTCTGCAACAAAGTTTGGCAAGCCACAAGGTTTGGCCTGCTTTATTTTGGAGATGACTTCACCTTTCCAGGTGCTTTGCGTCCAGATCTTCCTTTGGCATGGGAGGACAGGTGGATCATTTCAAGACTCTCCTTTTGCGCGCAGAAGACCAATGAAAGCATGGAGAAGTACGAGTTTGCCAATGCCACAACGGCCACATACAGCTTCTTCCTCTATGAGCTCTGTGATGTGTACCTGGAGCTGTTGAAGCCCCGTTTCCATGGTGAGACCACAGATGAGAATGTCCTTAAAGATCGGGATGTGGCTCGACAAGTCTTGTACATTTGCCTTGACTGGTCGATGAGATTGATGCACCCATTGCTTCCATACCTTACTGAGGAGCTCTATCAACGGCTGCCTCCCTCTCCCACCAAATGTGAGAGCATCACCATTGCTCCCTTCCCTGTGGGTGTGCATGCTTGGAGGAATGAAGCCTTAGAGAAGGAAATGGAAGTCACCAGTGAGATTGCGAAGCAGTTCCGCTCTCAAAAGACCTCCCTCGGCTTCAATCCAGGTGCCCGGCCTGAAGCCTATATCAGGCATACGGAGGAGGACTCCCGGGTGCAGATCGAGAAGTTGAAGAGTCAGATCTCTCGCATGGCTGCAGTAGGAGCGATTCAAGTCCTCAAAGCTGGTGCAGCTGATCCACACGGCACTATGCGGGATGTGGTGAATGAGAAGTGCCAGATCTACACCAAAGTGGAGGGTTTAGACTTGTCTGGTGAGAAGGCAAAGCTTCAGAAAAAGGTGACCTCTGCTCAAAAGATGGTGGAGTCCTACAAGCAGAAGATGTCTGTGGAGGGATACGAGGAAAAGGTGCCGGCCAACGTGCGGGAGCAGAACAGTCAGAAGATGCAGGCTTCCCAGAAAGAACTGGAGGAGCTCCAGAGGGCTTTGCAGAGTCTTGAGCAGGCCATGAATGGCAAATAATTGGCCACTGGCCACCACTGGCCATGGATATCGTCCGTCTTGGCTCATTAGACTCAGACTCTTGAGATTCTTGAGGCTCAAAGACTCAACATCCTGTTTCAGGGCGAGTCGATCGTGTACAGCCAGCACAACGTGCCAAAATGCTAGCCGTCACGGGGTAGAACCATGTAGAACCTAAGACCTAAAAATTGTAAGGACATAACTGCTTCCTATGAGCTACTCTCACCGTATCTTCATTCTTAGTTTCCCAGGTTGCGGCGCCAGCTCAACCAAATACGAAGCTGGGCATCCGAGAGCAGTGAATCCACAGCTGATGCTGTGATCAAGGGGATCCAATTGCAGCTGGATTCATTCTAGCAGAGGTGTTGACAGGCAATCTGATTGTTGTTTTTTCTTGACACTTGGCTCACAGTTGTACTTGCTACAAAGCTTGCAAGTACTGCGGAGAACTTCTTGCCATACGTCCAAACTCAAGGACTAAAGACCCAGAGCCTGGAACGGATACTGACCAAGAAGCCAACCACAAGGGTTTCGCATGGATTTGATATTGGTTGAAATCTGTGGACACCAACATTTTGATTTGTCAAACATCGAAGCACAACGCATCTACGTATATAACTATTTGCTGTCAGTGTGTACACACGTCCCTGAAATGGATTATTTTCAGACCATCCTTCATCACAAAGCTCACATAAGCTGTCTCAGCGCTTGACCACCATGGCCACTTCGCAGCGACATAGTCGTCCTTGCCTTTTGGTCCTGGTCATATTAGGCTGCCCAGGCTGCCCGGACTTGACGTGCCTTGGGCAAATCCACGGCTTGACGAGCTCATGATGCCATGCATCATGCATGTCGCAAGCGATGGAGACTTGTATCCCATCGTAATCCTCCAACTATTTAGCCACATCGAATGCCATACCTTTTGCATGTTTCTTCTATTTTCCATGAGCACTGCAGGTTCAATGTGGGATGGCCCAGCTCTAGAGGCCAGGGCGGCTGTTTGCCACCAAGACCACTAGGGCGGCTGTTGAGCCAATTGGTTTATGCCGGCGACTTCTCCAGGTGGAACGTGCCGTTCCGCCGAGCCGCGGCGCCCCGGCTCGGGGCGACCGCGGCGCCGGCCGCGGCCGCCCATGGGCCCGGTGGCGCCGGCGCGGGAGCCGACGAGTTGGTCGGAAGTTCTACAGCAAATGGCGCCAGAGGCCGATTTCCGGTTCTGAGTGGGTCAAATCGGGAGTCATTCGGAATGATGATGAAATGATGTGACAAGTTTTGGGTTGCAAAAAATGAGGCAATTTGATTTGTAGACGTGGTCTTGACTAGGAAAGTGAGCGAGGACGCTCCCTCCCAGTGGCCATTGCAGTACGCAGCTGGCTCCAGCGCTTCATCATCGCAGAAGGTCTGGCTGGAGAGCAGACTCATGCCAATCCCAAGCTCTGGGATGCTCTGGGCTTTAATTGTTCTCCAAACGCAGCTGCCAGGCTGCCAGGATTAAGTGCCTCTTCAGTAGCACAAACTGTCAAGTTGCTGTCGAGCGAAACCACCATTGATACTTTGTAGGTGTTCCCATGATATATCATGATATATTGATGTATGATGATGTTAATGACAAAGTGATTGTAGCCAGGTTTGTGCCCCTGGGCCGAAGCCGCTTTGACTTCGGGCGCCCTGGCTGTGGTTTGCCTCCTCGAGAGCGATGAGAAGGAGATTCTGTGATCGAACCATGCCATGGGTCATGTGTTTCCTTTTTTTTCATGTATTTTTATGTGCTTGTCTTTATTGATTGTACAAACTATTCAGATCTTTTTAGACAAGGGGATTCTGTAAATTCCAGTAAAAGCATTGCTTTCTTCCTCTTCATGCCGATGTCAGTGTGGCTGTGTCGGAATCCCTTTCCATCCCGTTCCAAGACCAACTTGCCAGTTGTGCAAACTGTCTTTGTCTGATTCGAAACTTGATGTTTACAGATGTGCACAACTCTTCACCAAACATGACACCAGTTCTGACCAATTTCTGACATGTCAGAGAGATGTCCCCAGACATTTCCATCGCTACTGGGTTGGAGGCCATTGCTATTAGGTTGGAGCCCATCGCTGGGAGGGGGGGAGGCCATCGCTATTTTCTCAAAGGCGGTGGCCCAGCGTCTTCTGCAGCACGGGCAGCTCTTGCAGCGAGCGAAGCCACCGGGCTCCCTGGGTGCCACGACGCTGGCCTTGGCGCCACGTTGCCATGGCCTTCAGCGGCTGAAACGCTTTCATAAGGCCCCGCAAAAGTGTGTGTGTCTCTCGAAGGAAGCACCCACAGGGAGGCCGAAAGATGCAAGAAACATCAAAGAACACGGGCTTGGGACCCTGCAATGGGACTGTCCAAAAAAAGATGCCGTGCAATGTCTCAGATGTTCTGAAGAGGATTCTGTCCCATTGATATGGTGTGGAACGTCCACCTCTCACACCATGCACACAGCATGCGTGTTGTCAATGGACAGGTCTGCGACTATTTGGACTTGAATCTGGATGAGACCAAGGTTCCTTGCATATGCAACGAGCTCACACCAGCTGATCGATTTCGGTTTGCTCAATTCGGTGCTTGGGGGTCGATATTTCATCGACTCGCAAGGACAGACCAAGGTCCAACTGGCACCGTTCCATCCTTTGTGGCGCTTTGAGGGTCGCCAGCTGCCTGGAGAAGGTGGGCTGCTTACAGTCGAAACAAGCGTGTCCGTGCTTAAGCATTTGCAGCAAACCCGAACATGGCTGACATAGTTTAAAGGGCTTGTGTCAGCATCAGCATTCCAGGCAACAAAAGGTCATTGATTCTCCATCTTCGTGGATTTGGTGTCGGATTTCGAGACACCAGCCCTAATATAACGCATATTACATCATATTACCAAATTATACAAGCATAGACCCCAAACAGCTTCAAAACAATTCGTTTAGACCATATTAGTCAAAAATTGATTTCTTGGTCGCCCTACCTTCACCCCAAGAGCAAACTGCTTCATCAATGAATTTTTGTCGGCATTGACATTGCTATTTGTTCGGCCACACTCCTCTCCAGTAAACCGGGCCACAGAGACCAGCCACAGAGTTCAGGGGCGCGGCCAAGACAAGGACAAGAGGAGAACAAGACCCGGACACAGAGCCGGGCCACAGAGCCCAGCCACAGAGTTCAGGGGCGCAGCCAAGACAAGGACAAGAGGAGGACAAGAAGAGGACAAGGCCCAGCCACAGAGCCCAGTTCAGGGGCGCGGCCAGTGAGTGTGGCCAGCTCTTTTTTTCTGAGATAGAACCCCAACAGTAAACTGCTTGGGGAAAAAACAGATATATCACGAAAGCCAGCTGATAGGCTGGGCTTGAGGTAGCTGAGCGAACGAAGTGAGTAAAGGGGGTGTGGGGGGGGTGGTTACTTGGGTGGTCACTTCCGGAGAGGTGAACCCAGAGCCTAGTGCAGGAGAGCGACAAAAAGAGGCGGGCCACTTGGTAGTGAAAATGAATGGTTTTGGGGGGGTGTTGTGATGCCGGTGATGTAATTGACGGCCAGTGGTGCATCATCAGCATCATGAGGGGCTCAGGAGGCCATGTAAACTGTTTTTACTAGGGGTGAGAGTTCACGTCGGACGTGAAAAGTGGTTAGAAGTCACCGTATACTTGAGAGCAGGAAAGAGAACAGATTGCAGTTGTGGGCAAGCGTTGGAGGCGGAAGGTTTTGAGTTGCTTAGGGGTGCCCTTTTTTATCCGTGGCAGGGTCTAGTTGGTGGACTCAAAAGGGCACCCCATATGGGGAGTATCTAATCACGAAGGCCAGCCGTCAACTCACTTGAAACATAGACCAGCACACCATACCAAACCTTCCCCGGACTACAGGGGTGCCCTTTTGCACTTCCACAACGCCGCGACATCAAGACGAAAAAGAGCACCCCGTCCCAAACCTATGTATTCTACTTCTACTGTCTATTTCCATTCTTTCTCGAATGACGGCCATATCCACTTCACCACTTCCGGCTCCTCATTGTCCACTCTACCTATATACATATCCTCACGAAAGCCTGCCGATTGCCTCGCCCATAGGCTTCCCACAACCATCTTTGCTCACTGATTAGCAACACGCAGCAAGCAAACTCATACAATATATTTGAGGGGGCCCTTTGTCATCTCCAAAGCACTCCTGGACCAGGACGAAAAAGGACACCCCCCCCGTTAATTCTACCTTCTATTTCTACCTCTATCGGGCGCCTGCGATCCCAACCTCACCCCATAAAAGTACTCTTTGCCCAATGTTGGCCAATCACTTCATCTTGCACGCTCAAGTGGCGTCAATATCAACTTCACCGCTTCCGGCTACTCTTTGTCCACTCTACCTAGATACATATGTGTATCCTCACCAAAGCCTGCCCATAGCCCCCCCCCAAAGCTATGTGTTCTACTTTCTTTCTGTTTCTATCCCCCATCAGTGTGGCTGTGATGTCAACTTCACCCCATAAAAGTATTCTTTGCCCGATGTTAGCCAATCACTTCATCTTGGACGGCAATATCAACTTCACCACTTCCAAATACATCTTGGCTCAATGATTCGCAACACACAGCAGGCAAGCGCCCCTCACTTCCTTCCAGGTGCCCTTTTTCACCTCCAAAACGCCCCTGACCAGAGACGAAAAAGGGCACCCTATGCATTTGACTTCCTGTTTCTACCCCCTATCGAGGTGGCTGCGATGTCAACTTCACCCCATGCAAGTACTCTTTGCCCGATGTTGCCCAATCACTTCATCTTGCACGCCAAGTCTTTGGCCAGGCTTGCCCTGAGGGCACCCCCAACCCAGAGGCTGGCTTTCGTCCCCTCCCTTCTCAGGTATACATATATATATATATATTGTATATGATCCTATCCCAAGTCATGTGAAGTCAAGCAGTTTTCAGACCCGTCTCAGACCCATCGCAAGCTCGTCCTCGCGAGGCGATGTGCCGGAGGGTCGAGGGGAAGATGCGGCGAACTACGTGAATCGCTCACCCGTCCCAGCGTTTCACTTCTTAAGACCCTCGGCGGTGGAAGACAGTGAACGGCGTTTTGTGTCGAGCAGGCCTGGTAGAAGATGGGGACTCAATGGGGAGTCATATTGTGACTTTGAGCAACTTGTGCCCTTGGGCCACACTGCGGTTTTGTTTGATGTGTGGATGCAACACCGTTTGCTGGCTGATTCAAGGAGTTAAAGAAGTCACTGCAGCCGCTGCAGATCATCCAGCTGCAACTCAGGGAGGTCCAGAGGTGCATTGATTTCTTTTTGATTGGGAGACTGGACAATTCTCAGTGTAGCAACCTGAGCATCTCAGCTCGAATGACAAGGGACACGACTATCACGACGAGAGTCCTTTGAGAGTCATTCTCAGTGTGGGAAGCTGATGGTGCGGCTTGCAGTTCTTCGTTTAGCCAGCTCATTATCAACAAAGACCATAATATAACATGATTGATTGAACCAGTCATCACAGGTGGCTCAAGATGAGACTAGTGATGAGACATATCCACAGAGCTGGTAGAGGATTGATTGGATTGGCTAGCCATCCTCAAGCCGCACCCTTTACACTTTACACCCTTCGATCTGTTGAAGGCGGCCAGTGCTTCAGTGGCGCTGCGGAATGCCCTGCTGCTGCGAAAGAGGGGTGTCCAGCATTGCAAAGAGGCCTTGAAAGCTTTTGTTTGTGGTGTGGAGATGCTGAGTACACGATCATTCTTTTCGATTCTTTTCGCACAATATCAGAAGAGGTTCAAGTGAGTAGAGATTCACGATGCTGGAAGCTGACTTGGTACACCTGTTGTAAGTTCCATTAGTACTGTCAGCCACGGTCATTTCTCAGTAAATCGCCTTGGAAGCCAATGTTTTTCAGTTTTGGTTTCAATCTTTGACCGGATCATTTGTAATATTTGCAGATGAGCAAGTCCACTTTGATGGTGTGTATGGCAAGTCGTTTTGGGACAGGTCTTGAAGAGCTGCAGAGAAGAGGGCATCGAAGCAGTTGAAAACAGACGACCGCATGCAGATGTTGCTTCAAGCAGAGCGGGCCAAACTTGAGTCTTGCATGGGGTCATTGTGTGAAACATGAGTACTGCAACAGTTTGGATGTCAAGAGTCAAGAGGTCTTTTTTTTGGATGACAGGATTGGGGGTAGTTAGATTTTGGCTGGACAACCCACCCTATGGTGACGTTTGCTACTGCAGCGCATCACCGAGTGCAGTGACAAACACCACAACAGACAACTCAGACAACAAACTTTGACACTGACAACACACACTGACAACACGTGACAACACCAAACACAAGCTCAGAAAACACGACAAGCGATGACAAAAGAGATCAGAAGCAATGCCACATACAACACAATGGTGACAAAACCAGTGGCCCGACCCAGTGGTCCCGCTGGTGGCTCCACACGACAGCAGACAAGGTTAGACTGTCGTTAGACCACGTTCGACAGCGCATTTGACGGCAGCAAACAGAACCACAACACGACAGTACAGTGGGACAAAGACGGCACTAGACTAGACTGCAAACAATAACACGAACATCAGCATACGAAGGGTAAACCGCAACACTAGTAATAACTTGACAACACACTAGGTCAAAGATGACAGCAGACACCAGGTAGTGACACGTAATCACAACACCAAACATAACCACAACACACCGTGGCCGAGGGATCCCTCCGGGTCGCTGTGACTTAGCAGCTCGAGGAATCCCAGTTTGAGTCACGCACACATGGTTGACTGGTAATGTTTGGTAAAGTGGTGTGCTTTGATGATGTTTGCATATTTGGCCTTCCTTTTTCAATCTTTTCCTTTGCATCTGACCATTCATGGTTTGCGATGTAAACAGACCTGTAAAATCGCAGGAGCATGTATGAAGTATGAAGAGTGCGTTTGTGTGTGCTCAAATTGCCACTTTGAGGCGAAGGCAGATGCTGGGTCCTGAGTCTGAGAGTCCTTCTCAATTCGTTCCATCCTCGAAGGGGCCTGGTGATTCATTCTACCTCCAAGGCCGCAAGCGCCGCCCCAAAGACCGAAGAGCCGAAGACGGTGCGGAGAGCTGCAACAAACTTGACATGGATGCTACAGGAAGTTCATGCAGTTGTCCTTCTTCACACGTTTCAATTCTTAAGGCGGAGACTGCTGCCACCCCTGCTGCCCAGACCGACACACCAGCAGAGAAGCCAATAGAACAGAAGGTGGATGAAACTGCATCAGTTCACTCTGGAAAAGGGGAGAAAAAGGAAGAGGCAGCACCAGCCGAGAAGCCAGCACCAGCCGAATCGGCGCCAGCCGAATCGGCACCAGCCGAATCGGCGCCAGCTGAGCAAGCAGCACCAGCCGAAGCAGCACCGGCAGAGGAGGCAGCGCCGGCTGAGGCAGCACCGGCTGAGGCAGCACCGGCAGAGGAGGCAGCGCCGGCTGAGGAGACAGCGCCTGCTGAGGCCACACCGGCAGAGGCAGCGCCGGCTGAGGAGGCAGCGCCTGCTGAGGCCGCACCGGCAGAGGAGGCAGCTCTAGTCGAAGTTGCACCAGCGGAGTAAGCAGGCTGAATGAACCCGACGTTGAGGCCTCATGTTGAGGCCACACGGAATCGGCTATGAAGCAACCAGCCGCAGCAGTGACCTCTTTGAGCTTATGCAAGGCAGCAGTTTGGGTCTTGGGTTTTGGGTGCAGCAGTCCAGCATGAGATGTGTCAGCTTCAAAGAGATTGCACAAGCTTGCATGAATCTGTGCTATTGAATCCATTAGTAGTACTTACCACTTTAAGTTTAATACCTTTGTTCATGGGTGTCAGGCTCAGGTTGAATTTGAATGGTCGTTTGGAACACACAATTGTTCATCAATTACAAAAAAATAGCGAATGGAAGTTTGAACCCCCTTAGAGCAAGAGGTGCAAGACATATCAAACCTGCAGTTTGCAGCAAGTGCAGGCTGAGTACACTGAGTGTCCCAGTGCTCTAGTCGGCATCATTTTTGGCCAAACAGTTTGCTTTCTGAAACAAGCGTGAATCTTGACAATTGGACCTATTTGCAGATGGACAGGATTGCTTGCACTGTACACGCTTTGTTTCAAAGGACCTAGGATGTCAGCAGGAAGCCTCCCGTTTTGGAGTGTGCTGGCCTAGACGTCCAAGTAGAGCTTCACACGAACCACTTTGAACTGCACATATTGCTGAGCCTATCAATTGGGGGCTGTGAGGAGCAATTCTCTTGACTCTGAGCTCGTTCAACTTGGACTTGAAGCCCCCCCTGTGGGGGCTACTATGCGCTACTTAAAGTAGCTTTTCACGATGGATTCACGACGGCCATCCTCAAAGAGATAGCCACGTTTGAGCAACTGCCAAAGCGAAGGATGATGTATTTACGGAACAGTCATGGGTCAGATGGAAAAAACTAATCAATTAGTAATTGGAATACAAAGCCCTAAGTTAATAATTATATACACACACGCCCACACCGGCAACAAACAATGCAAACATGTGTCGACGTGCTTATGATCTACATGGATCGTGCACAGTGTGAGGCCCCCGTTTGGAGCGATTTCGCAGGTTGTTGGTGATGTCATCAAGCGTCGGTTTTTGGCAGACACTCATTTAGACTGGACTAGGATTGCCCTTCTGGCAGAAAAAGATGTGGCAGACGGGCCGCACGGGCAAGAAGAATTGTTTGACCGATTGGAGGGTCTTCACTACTTCTTCCGAACGTCTTCGGACAACGCAAAGTTTGAAGACACTATTTCGACACAGAGAGGTGATCTGACTGAAAGGAAAAAGAACTGGCAGAAGAAATCTCCCTGTTTTTATAACAGGCCTTTGTTAATCATGATACTGAAGATGGTTCGTTTGAGGCGGTAGTGACACGCGCAGTCTTTGGCTACAAGTGTTCAGCCATGATAGCTTTTGTGTCAGCCACCCCTATCGGAAGCCGCCAGGCAGGCATTCCCTACGGGCATGGTTTCGGGCAATGTAGTTCAGAAGCTTTTGTATTCACTGAAGAAGATCAGGCAAGAATGAAAAGGCTACTAACGCTTTGCCTCGCTTCCAATTGATTCTGGAGTACTGAGTTTTCTTCCTTGGTATCGAATCGACTGCGCAACTCTGCTCGGACCAGCTGTAGATAGACTTAGGGTGTTTTCCTTATTAAAATCACATAAATCACTACATTGGTATGCTTCCTTTTGTTCTTGTGACTCCAGGCGACGCCATGCCACCCCTGGATGAACCTTTGACGTTTTTGCACTCGACCACATGATGACCACATGATGCGGCACGAAGTGGCCCCATCCAAGATTCGAGAAATGCCGTTCGATGTGCATCCATTAATCCGTTTGAATCTGCCAAAGGTCAAAAGTATGCTGCCCACGGACCTGTTTCAATCTTGATCCATGTCGATCATTGGCGGTGTGTTTCGAACACCTGCAAAAGAAATGAGATGAGAGCAGAGCTGATGTGTCCACACTTCCCCTGCACATGCTCGAAGCCGCCAAGACTTCGGCTGTGAAATGTTGGAGGGTCCAATATTCGGCCTCGAAGTCAAAAGGGCCTCCAAATTGGCCTTCTTCACGTCGGTCGTGATGGGACGAGCTCAACGTTGCCCTTCCCAATGCTGAAAAAAGCGTCAGCACTTCAGTACTGTATCAGCCTCACTTCGAATCTCCTGCAGACTCGGAGAATTGCGAGCTGACACAGCTCGGACCGTCTCGGACCTCAATGGATCAGATTCTGAGGCCTCCCCCATCTCGCCCCGAGGGCCCTTGGTCGCCCTTGGTCCAGGGCCAAACGTCCACTATCGTCCACTCGTCGGAGACCAGCTGCTAGTAGCTTCTTGTTACTACTAGCAAGGCACTTGTTACTAGAAGCGATGCACTTGTTCCGAGTAGCTTCTTGTTCCTAGTAGTATGGCCAGGAGCCCCTAGTAGCGTCGATCGCTCCGTTCGTAGCGATGCCCTTTGCTCCGTTCGTGGCGTCCACTCGTCTTGTGTTTCGTGTCAAGTTGGCCACATCGAAGGGAGTGGCTCGGTCATACCGGGTCGGAAAGCTTGTACTCGAGGCTTTCCATGAATCGGAGCCACTGGCAGACTCCCGCTTGTCAGAGCCCTGCGGCCTCGAATGCGCTCCTCTTCTCAAGGCATCCTCTCAGAAGAGACTCGCACAGCTGCAATCCTCGGTCCCCCAACTGGTGCCATGGC